TGCCGTGGCACTGGGTTATCCCGAGCCCGCAAAGCGAGGCCGATACATGAAGTGAGATATTCCAATATTTTACAGTGGCAAGATGACTGACTTCAACAGCATTTGGCTTTGGTTCCGTACAGGTGGCCCGTTGGTGGGAGGTGCTATCGTCCTTGGCCTCAACCAGTATGTCTACCTACACCCGAATTCATATCACGAAAGGAATTCACTAACGAATAAAAAGCGCTGCCGACGCTCATGCCAGAGGAAAGGTTGGATCTGGTAAGCTGATCAAAGCTAGATTAGACAGCCTGAACGGTCGCTAACACTCAACAGAGACATATCTCATCTTCATCGCGCTCCAATGTACTGCTGTGCCTATAGCCTTCTTCCTCACGTCACCAGACAAGGTGCAACGCACCGATGGAAGTAAAGTCAGGATTATCCTGCAGGATTCGTGGCGTGATGAAATGAAAGAGCTCTGGAAGGTCTGCCAGCGGAAGGAGGTATGTTTAACATCATTGATCCAATTGTGGTATGCGGTTCATGTAACTGACCTCCCTAGATTCTCTTGCTATTGCCTGTTTTCTGGGCCGCATACTTCAATATGTACACTGGAAGTATGAATTATCTGTTTCCTCTTCACCGTTCGCAATTGCTGACTAGTTGTTCTAGATTTCAAAACCTACTACTTCGGCGTGCGCGCTCGCGCTCTTATGGGATTCGTCAGTATGTTTACACACCCATATATTCTATACACTTCTGCTTCAGTGCTAACATGGACCAAAGCCTACTTCTCAACTCTTCTTGCCTCGACACTCATTAGTAGGTTCCTAGACTACCGCGGTCTTTCGATCAGAAACAGAATTAAGTACAGGTACAGAATCTCCGCACTTACTGTCAGTTTTGGAACCAAGACTAATTCCAATGACAGCTTCTTCTACGTGATCGTCGTCCACGTCGCTGCCTGGGTGTACTGCTGGGTTATCCAAGAAAAGTACACCAAGAACCCACCAACCTTTGATTGGTCCGACAAAGGCTTCGTTGAAGGATTCTTCGTTGTCCTGCTTTGGGGTGAGTCTTATAAATGATTTCATATCCCGAACGAGTGCTGACCTTCCTCCCATCAGAATTTGCTCAGCAGTCACTGCAAAACTTCCTTTACTACCTTCTCTCCACCATGACCGACAATATCTCCGAACTCTGTAAGTCGAACCCAAACTCAATGCCCTACCTAGGCATTACTGATACGATATAGCCCGGTTGTCCGGTATTCTCCGCGGCCAAGAGAGCTTCTCGCAGGCTGTCTCTTACGGCCTCAACTCGAAGAAATGGCACGGTGGAAGAGTGCCACTTATTGTCAATACTATCCTTCTTGGTAAGTGATACATATGATACGTATGAAATGATTGGAAATAAGCGACGCTAACTTTTCTTTTCAGTTCTCTCGATCTGGCCTACTTGGCTCGTTGTCAGGTCCCACGTTCCCATCGAACATTCCAAGGAGACTGCCGAGTTGCCTCAGGCCCAAGATGAGGAGCAGAACAAAGTTAATCTCTCTGATAAGGAGACGTTTGTTGTTGCCGAGGCAGTTGCTTCGAAATAAGTTGGAGTTGATGAATCGCCCACTCTGCAAAAAATAATATATTTACGACCAGGGTTTGAAGTCTGCAAAAAGTCCCCTGGCAATTTGAACAATACTTAATTCATGAATCAATGAGATGGCTATAGTCTGTGAATAATACTACGTTCTTTATTTATATTCAAACCACAAGAACACCCTCATCATCTTGGCTTTCCTCGCGTAACTTTCTCTCCGCACGGCTCTCGCTAGTGGGATCGAAATAGGCTTCGGTATGAGGTTAGCAAACATGAGAATTGGAATATAGAGATATTAATGTGAGGACTCACGTATTTCCCCAAAAACAGTAGTCCGAATACCTCGTCTCTCTCCTTTGTATGTACCAGGGATAACCCGGTGAAGGGTACACCTGATAAACCATTAGTTCCAAATCCAAAGCAGCAAAAGAGAACAACGAGTAATTACCGATTATCCCACATAGCAACACTGCCAACAGCCCATTTCCAACGAACATAATGATCATCAGCCGAGTGGATATGATATGCCAAGAAATCGAGAACTTTGTCTAGAAAGACGTCAGCCCCAAACCATAAAAGAATTCGTTGAGAGTTTCACGTACCAGATTCCAGCTTCTTGAGCTCAGCAAACCCGGTAACAAATCCAGGATTGACGTTCAGCGCTTTCAATTTAGTGACCGGGTGCGTGCGCACGGCTGGGTGGTGTGTATCGATTGGAGGGCGATTTGGACCTGCACCCCATAGATCGAGGATGGTATCATCTATTTATTCAATCAATGAGCGAACTTATTAACAGTAGAGGCGTTATCGAGGAGACAAACACTGAAGTCTCGAGGTATGCACGGCGTGAAGGCCGTCAAGGAACCTTTTGTAAGCGTCGCTTAGGGCGTCATATATGCCATATTGAGATACCTATGGAATGAGCAATTTGTTTTGAGTGAGATGTGAATTTATACCATACCCAGGCTGTGTCGCCACCGACTTCGGGGTGCTCTTCCATTCTCAATAGGGAGTAGGTAGGTGCTATGATGTGTTAGATATTGATGGTTAGAGAGTATGGTTCGCTACATACGATTGATCTCGAATGATGTATCAGCGTGAAAATCTCCACTAGGCTATGGAAGTAGAATTTGCTGTTAGACCTTTGCGTTCAAGAATGTCAAAATTTCCTTACCCAGGGTGTGTAGCTTAGGATTTCACGGTGATCCTCGCGGCTCCCTTTGATATTGACGAACTTTGTAGCGGGTTAGCAATAATGCCAATTATTTTATGTCATGAGATGAGATTTAAATCAATATTGGGATTTCTTGGTGGGTTGAGTGGGAAGTTTCTCTAGGGTATACTATACTTTTTGATCCTAATGATTGTCAGCTTGCTTGAATCTGCTTGAAATTTGCAAAAAACTTGTGGTTCAGTTTACCTTTTGAGCAGGATGTTTATCCAAGATGCCTAGAAGATTAAATTAACAACCCCATGCGTATGTCGTCCCTCAGAAATCTCATATAGGCGTACCATAATGTTGAAACAGTTCAACCTGTTTCTCAGTAGTAAGATCCTGATCTCGGAAAAATACAACTCCCCGCTCATTAACAAGAAGTGCTAATTCATCCAACTGAGTCTCATTCAGCTGAGACAATTGTACATTCTCAAGAACAGTTCCAATGGACTCAGTCAAATCAACCTGTTTCGCCACAGAGAACAGCGCTTTCTTCTCCGGATCGGCAAAGAATGCCCGATCTTTGGGCGGGGTAAATGGCTCCCGGGGTGGCTCTGGGGGCACATGGTTCTTGATCTTTTCGTTGAAATGAGGATGGAGGGTAACGGGGAATCCCGAGTCGGGAGAAATATACTTGCGCGCTTCGAGATTAGCCATCTTCTGTGTATTTAGTTGTAATGAGTATTTCAAGTGAATAAAAAGGTTGGAATATTCGTGAAATGGAAGTAGATTTGTTTCGTGCTTTATATCCTGTTGAGCTCATACCCGGCTTCGATTGCGTCAAAACACCATATACGAGTTGTTTTGTCCGAGTCCAATCGGCTACTTATTTCTCCAATGTATGGTCGCTTGTCAACCTAGATGTCGAATAAGTGGAGAATATGCACGCAATATTGTTTATAAATTCTGTACAACATAGTACAACTTGCTGTCATCCACACTGGTACAAGTTGGGTCACATGGTGCTTACGGGGTACATGTATATGAAGAGAAGATATTGTTTAGAAAATAGCCTAGTTGGCGCAATATAAGAGCAGCGCCAGGCATTTAATGATGCACGTGGAGTCCTGGGGTTCCCTCTGTAGCTCAGGACAAGGGGGGAGACTCCTGATACCGGACTTGATTGGGGTGGCTCCCTTGATGGCTCGGAACCAGATGGGAATCTGATGAAAGAGTCAGCATGCTTTGATGCAAAGTTCAAGGCCCTGCAAATATATGATATAGCATAACGAAAAAGACAGCGACGATGCAAGAGCCGAGCAAGGATAAGCCCCAAATGTTTCCGTTGCAGAACATTAGCTTTTGGACAGTCACAATTCACCAAACCGAAGCTGAATAATGCAAAAAGGGATAAGACAACAAATAAATGTGAGGACAAGCAACAAACCAAAATGTCAGGTTAATATAGAAACACCACTCGATCAACTAATTAGTATAATAACAGAAAATCGGTAATAGAAAATCAATCAGTACATAGCAGCGAAGGCTCCAATTGACATAGAGCATTGGCGTGGCGGCACCGAGTAGGCAGTCAATAAAAATGAGCTGTTCGAGACACAACCGCCACTGATTCTGGCAACAGTATGCCTGACAATAACGTCAATGAATGTAGGTGAAACACAATATATCAAAGAGCCCTGTTCAAAAACTGTAAGGCAGGAGAATGGAGCCATTTGATGATGTAGAATTGGAAGCGATTGCCCCACATCAGCTGAAAGAGACATACTATAAGCATGTAGATACTCAAGTATCACCTGACGCTGTCAACGTGTGGATATCATGGGTGACCTTTGGGATGGCACTAGAAATGATTGCATTGTCTAGCCCCCTAGGAAACATGCAGAGGCTCAAGCTCAGGGCGACGAGAATGGGCGTGGATTTTCGGAGAAATTGGGGTTCCTGTTGGTTACTGGGAATCCCACAATAATTGACTGGTGTTGGTGTATGGTTTTCGGCTTTTTGCGTCTGCAGGGTATTTTGGAAGATCGCCGTAGATGGTGCGGGTTATCTCTTGTGGAAACAAGGGGAGAGGAAGAATGAATGCACTAAAATTGGAAAGCGAAGAAAGTTTGGCATGTGCCTGGCATTTTTGCCTGCACCGGTTTTGACAGTAACTCGGATTGAACTAAGATACTATGACTAGGAGGATCCTCTAGATCCGCGAGGGCTGAATAGTGGACTGCGCCAAGACATTAGTCTCATTCACTTATTGTGACCTCCTAGCTACCCTGTCGTTCGCACCTAGAGAGTAGTTGAGAGTGTTGTAGGTGCCTAGCTCAGAGAGTGAAGCGAGGATACAATATTGTGAACAGCAAACGGGACTAATACAGTAGGCGGTATAATTCTGCCAAAATGTGAGGTTATAATGAACTGAACGAATTGATATATCGCCCTTCGGGGCATATGGTCAAATGAAAATATACAGAGAAGATTAGCATGGCCCCTGCACTAAGGATGACACGCTCAATCAAAGAGAAGCTACCCATTTTTTTTTATCCTTCCACGTTCAACGTTGAAGGTATACCTACCTACCTACGTAGGTGATATGTGGGGCATTTTGACAATATACATAGGTATGATTGGTGCTACCGCCTTAGTAAGTCACGTGCAATAGACCAATAACGTCGTAGGTTCGAGATCCGCTCCGCGCGAAATAGCGGGTCCTTGACCAACCACGGCCGAGTATCTTCCAACTCTATAACTATAATTCTGATCCGAAAAGCGAGGTTAGAATAAACTGAACGTCTGGATATTTCGCCCTTCGGGGCATATGGTCAAATGAAAATATACAGAGAAGATTAGTACGGCCCCTGCACTAAGGATGACGTATCTTAATCAAAGAGAAGCTACCTATTTTTTTTTCTTTCGAGATCGTATATTGAGGCTATCTGGTGGAGATCTTCTTCTACGATCTCTGATTGGTTCTATGCTATTATAGTCACGTGAGTGATCCCATAGCCCCACGTCGCAGGTACGAAACCGACCAATAACGACCAATATTGACTGCCGGATTTATTCTTTTAAGCCAGGTCTCACTTCCAGTATATAAGCGATATTTTTATTTTAACATACCTAGGTAGCTACAAAAATAGAGGTAAAATTCTATGTTAATTTTAAGCAACAGTTCAAAGCCATGGACCTCGGGAAGCACATGGGCCAACTACTCCGTACAGCCGGCCCCACTCTTCCCCGCGGAATTTCCCTGGTCCAACGACTCCAACGACTGATCTTCCAACAGACTGTCGAATAGCAGCGGATTGAAGGTTGACGACATTATAAAAAATACCTCAATGGGAAGACCTGATCTTCCAGTTATTGCTCCGTACCATCCAAGCCAGAGGAGACACTCGACTGTGCAACACACCTCCCAGGCCTCGCCGAGGGGAACCCGCCGCGGGAATTTCCTTCCACCTACGAAGCATTGATAAACAAGATGGAAAGTGGAGACGAGCGACCATATCGGTCTCACACTAAGCCAGCATGTGTACCGTGCCGGCGGAGGAAGTCGCGATGCAAACTAGAGCCCCACACCCCGGCTTGTTTGATGTGCCGTGCACACGGCACCGAATGTACATTTCCCAACGCGAGAGCAAAGTCAACACCACAAAAGAGGTATTCTACAGAAACTGGCCCACGACTACCACACCCGACAGTACGAACACCAATCGCAGCTGCCCAGTCACTTAGCCGACCGCCTGTGGTAGCTGCTTCGCCGCAATTCTCAATTGTCACACAAGCTCAGAACGATCAGGATACACCGCTGTCTCTTGAGGCTGATGATGACAACCCCCATATCCTTGGTCCGGCAGTGACTGGGGATAATCATGTCTTGGCTGACTATCTGTCCAATATTTCGGGTGGTCAAGGAATTCGTGAAATTCGTCCCGTTGAGCCGGGTAGCTCCTCGTCTCCTGTTATATTCACGAAAGTACAGAAAAGGCCGCTGGGACTCATGGTGAACTCTAGTCCGGCGTTGCATAAGCTACAGACCATTGAAAAGCTTGTAGAGCCATGGGGACCACATCTGATAGACATGTGGGTCACACTTGATCTATATTGGTATTCGACAGGAGCCCCGGAAACTAATTATTGCGAATAGATATCTGAGAAAGATCAATCCTTGCCTACCATTACTTGAAGAAAGCTCCTTTCGAGCGCAATACACAAATGCCAGGCATCGCATTTCTCCTGCACTTTTGGCGTGCCTGTATGCTCACGTGCTTACCCAATGGCAACATGACCCCCTTCTATCAAGAGAACGGTGTCCGGATGTTCGTTTTGTTTGGAACCTTGCCATTGAAGCCTCATATTCCGAGTTGCACGCGTCAGCTGGGATATCCACAATAAAAGCCATCCTTCTGGATGTTGGCGGCCGCCCAACCACATCTATGACAGGCAATGGAGTAAGACTCGGTTCGGCTGTTGCATTGTGCCATTCCCTAGGTTTAAATCGAAACCCACTACCGTGGGATATCCCACAGGAGGAGAAACATCTAAGAATGAAAATCTGGTGGTCTATCTTACTCCACGATCGCTGGTATGTTTTCGACCTTTAACATTCTAAACAATGGGACATTCTAAGAACTAGCCATCCAACAGGTCAAGTCTTGCTTATGGGACGCCACCTCATATTAGAAGATCGCAATACGACGTACCGTTACCAATACCCGGATACCTGTCAGACTGGGAACGAGACCACGAAGCAAACGCAGTTTTCATCGAGCTCATGAATTTGACCGATGTGCTAGACCACTGTCTTGAACAAGTATACACCATCCGTACCGAGACCCAAGGATCAAGCAAGAATCTTGAGTTAGAGTTAAACAAATGGGTGGACTCACTCACAGGAGACATCCGTAAGATCATCATCCGCGGCTCAAACCTGAATATTCCTGGCGCTTCCAACCTCCGTCTGGCATATTTAGCCACAAGACTCCTCCTGTGGCGCATCGACCTAGACCGCGAACGACAAGCACCAGGTACGAATGCCGAGCAGATGGCCAACCGGGTTATGGAGGCGCGCAGGACCGCAGAGGACATCGTGGTTTTGGTGCAGGAACTCGGAGAAGCACAATTGGGTGATTACTGGCTACCTGTCGTAGCATTCACATTTTCAGCAACGGTGACGTTTTTGATTCGGTGTGCACTAGAGACAGAGCAGGCGGCTGGTCTTGCACAAAGTGGTTCTCTGCGAATGGCGAGTGACCTTTTGGATTCGTTGCGATCGCACCACAAGAACTTTGGGTGGGATCTGGGTGATATTTGCCTCGCGCAGCATTCAGATGTCATCGATAAGCTGTTAAAGTCAGAGCCGCCGATTGAAAGCTCCGGGGAGACGAACGTTGAACTGCGTCAGAATTTCGTACCAGACATGGCTTTTATTGATGATATGTTCCCAAGTACCTGGGATATACTGCAAATCATGGAGTGATGGAAAGTAAGGAGTGCTCGTGGACTTACGTTGTAACACTTTGATCAATATAGACTTACTTCGTACAATGACTAGGTTGCTGTGCTCAAAACCCTGGTCTCTTGGCACCTCCTTGACATTAACCAGCCGTAGGCGGAGCTTGTTCTAAGCCGTCGAGCTTCCGATGCAGGTGGGTCGGTATCCGCTAACAACTTTAGTTTGATCCTCTATGGTGTATTTCCTACTTCTTTCATAGCTATTATGTCGGGATACGATATTGGGGTTGGTAAGTAGTACCAAGGCCCAGGCTTTTACTTTAGCCCCGAATTCCACGGCTAGACAACTAGAAGCAGTTTGTGTAGGTTAGGTAACATGCCGCGTATGGGGCTTAGAACGTAAAAGGATCAGCCGTCTCTAAGACATTGTGGGTCCAGAGCCTCGAGGATGTACTTTTAAGTAGGTGGAAGAAGAGAATTCATATGCCCTCAATACCTGGTGACCTACAACATAGACAGTGCCCAATCCTACTGTTGTAATACAGCCAGATCCTGAGGGCCATTGTTACTGTCTTACGACGCTGGTCCACGGGTATTCTGACTCATTTAGAATACGAAAACAATGGGACTACGTCCACTTCGGCCTTGGAGCATATAAACGTAGACAAAATGTGGTTCAGGTTGAACTAGCATTTTAATAGATTTTTTTATTCTTGATTATCTATTGATCCCTTTGATTCATCTTCGGAAGATCTGCCTTCGCCTTTCAATATGCCTCTGCAAAGCTCTCCACCTTCAAAGCGCCTCCCTCGATTTTCTATAGTTCTAAGGCCGCTAGGGCTCGGAGATTCTTTCCTATCGTTAAGAGCGCCAAGGCTGCCCAATTAGGCTTAGTCCCCCTCGGGTTTACAAACTTTCCTTTCAAAAGTGAGTTTTTAGGCCTACCGCCCACGTGATTTACTTTATTATACTAATATTATTGGCTTAACTCCATCTTCCGCCTTTTAAGCTAAGATTCTGCCGGCTCAAACCTTAGTTACCCGTGGACCTCCAATTCGATTATATAATAGAACGACAAAAATGCCAAGACCCCGTCTATTTTGAAACGTTAGTTTCGAAGGATTGTCGGAGCAAATCCTTCGATTTTAACGGGATCTGACTGTAGCTGAATATCCTGGTGCCAATGGCTACGCCGCTGTCGGGTGTGGACCCCGGAATTTATTTCCCCCCGCCATGTCACTCCAAGGGCGCGCTGCCTAATGGGTGTTCCACTATTCGATTACCGCAACTTTTTATAGTCATGTCCTATTGTCCTATTGTTCTCTTTTATCTCTCCGAAGACTAACATATAAAGTGATCATACGTATTTCCTCTTTGCTGTCGCGTCGACCCTGACCCAGAACCGCAATGTCTCAAGCAGCAGTACACACCAAAGCGGGCATATCGGGTCTCGACCTAGATGACTCAACCCAATTATCGATGCTGCATTCGCAGCTCCATGAGTCGCTTGAAACGTCAGTAACACACAATTTGTCCAATGGACAGCCCTCTCTTGAGGATGATTACCAGACTCGGCCTGTGGATCTTTCTCGCAGCAGTGCGGTTATTTTGATTACTACCCTCAGCGGTATCACGTTTGTGGGCAGTATGAGTGGTGGACTGCTTACTGTTGGGCTGCCTACTATTGCAAAGGATCTGAATTTACCCCAAAATCTATTGCTGTGGTGAGTAGAACCCTTTTAATGCCCTCTAGAGGAAGGAGTCAATCTGACGAACAACCGATTTGCTTTAGGCCTGCTTCTGTCTACTCGTAAGTTCAATTTAGGTCTCTGCAATCAACTTTCGCTAAATAATGAAGTCTCGCAAATGGATGTTGTCTCCTCCTAGCGGGTTCGATGGCCGACTTTATGGGGAATCGAATGATCAATCTCACCGGCTGTTTCCTACTTGGTGCATTTATTCTTGCCTGTGGTGTAGCACAGACCGGTATTCAAATGATTTTGTTCCGCACATTCCAAGGCATCGCAACTTCGATGTGTCTTCCCACGGCATTCAGTATTTTAACTGATGCTATGCCAACCGGGAAGAGAAGAAATGTTGGATTTGCTTGCCTTGGGCTAGGACAACCGTTAGGATTTTCGATGGGACTAGTGCTTGGTGGTGTTTTTCAAGGCTCATCACTGGGGTGGAGGTTTGGCTATTACCTCTGTGCAGGAATCTCTATGGTCCTTACAGTAGTAAATTTCTTCAAGTTGCCAAAGGATGCACAGCGGGAGCCGATTTCGTGGCGCAGACTCCGCTCGGAAATTGATTGGGTTGGAATCCTTCTGTCGAGCTCTTGCCTAGGGATTATTTCTTACGTCTTCGCGTAAGTTTCCTAGGACGGAGTGTATCCATAACCCGAAAGCCTGCTAACAGTAATTGCAGTACCATCACCGATAGCCCGTCGAATATTCAGCGAGCAGAAAACATTGTCTTGCTTTGTGCAGCTGGAGTCATGATACCTGCTTTCTTGGGCTGGATGAACTGGCGCGAGAGGAGTGGCAAATCTGCTTTGATTCCGAACAGTTTGTGGAAGAATACGGCATTTGCATCGGTATGTGTCATGGTCCTCCTTTCTTGGGCTGTACTAAACGGAATGGAAACGATTCTGAGTCTGTTGTAAGTGTTGCCCAAAATTGGCTTATTGAAAGTAGTATTCTTACCACCTTCACAGCTTCCAAGAAGTTCAAGATCTATCTGCTTTCCAGGCCGCTCTTCGCTTCTTACCAAATGTGATTATCGGCATAGTACTCAACATTGGAACCGGTCTGCTCGTCCATCGCCTCCATGCGGATCATTTGGTGCTTGTCAGTACATTCCTTAGTGCGGGATCCCCACTGTTGATGGCTATCATCAATCCCAACTGGTCGTGGTGGTACTGTGCATTCTGGGCTGTTCTCCTAGGTCCCCTTTCAGCAGATGGTGAGTTCCGCTCTTGGTTTCCCCTTCTTTTCGCTATGACCAAAAGATAAGTCTTTGAATGCACCGCTGACCAAACTCTCAATTAGTCATCTTTACTATCGCAAACCTCATTATCACTGATGCCTTCACCCCCAAAACCCAAGGCCTCGCAGGGGCAGTATTCAACACCGTCGCGCAATTCGGGACCTCTATTGGGCTTGCCATCTTCGCCATCATTTCCACCGGTGTCACTCAGGGGTCATCATATTCTAACAAAGAATCACCGGAAGCACTAATGGTTGGGTACCGAGCTGTCTTTTGGGCTTGTTTTGGACTAATGCTGGCAGCTTGTGCTGTTGGTGCTTTAGGGTTACGCAAGGTGGGAAAGGTTGGGTTGAAACGGGATTGAGGAAGAGAACGCACTTTGTTTCAAAACTAGAGCCAAAAAGTCAACATCAATTTCAATGATACGCAACGCTCGCCTGGTGCAAATTCGTGACCTGGGTTCCGAAGTATAGTCAATATAGTCATACTCCTCAAATGTCGGGAAACCGTAAGCAAAACAATAAACCAAACGTAGGTTGCTGGACGGGGGCTCTTCTGGGTGTACAAAAGCTTCATTTCTTTAGACTTGCAAACGCCAGCAGAATTAGGTAGGGTACTTTGATTATTAAGGCATATGTAATAGGCAGGTAATAATTGAGGTATTTTGACTTTTCTGCCGTTCTAAATTAAGGCATTGAGACATCATAGTATCTCCCAAAAAGAGGGATTGAACCCTGGCCCCTGTATGTCTTCATACCCCAACCTAGCGCGCCTGGGTGCAACCGGTCCCGGCTGTTTTTCTATCATGAAGGGGGCCGTCATCCCATAAAATGTGAACTGCTCGGCCATGGCGAATAGCATAACGAGCCCAATAGAGCCCGGGGTTAGACTAGCCACTTTACGCAAGATTTCTTTGTCGCTATTCTCCCGCTTTTGTGCGACGGGCTGTTGTTGATTGTACGGAGTAGTACTCTCCAAGATGCACTCTTCCACCCTTTCAGGACAAATACCCGGCTCTAGATCGTCTGCTTCATCTGACAGACTGGTCACTTTACGCTAGTCTTGTTTTAATGAAAGAAAAAAAAAAGATTCAATGTTGAATGTTGTTATAGATGGTAGAAAAACGAAAGTTGAAATAGGCAAGGAAAACAAACAGTCCGAAATGAGCAAAATAAGAAAAGACACAGACCTATGGGTCTTATTATGAATAATAATAGATAATAGATAAGGAGAAATCCTTCTATGAACATTGAAAATAAAGTGAAAAAGGGTCTAGTTGGGGACCAGGGTCAGTGTTGGTGACCGCGTTAGTGTCTCGGAGTAACCAGGAGATCCGATCGGACTTACAAGGTATAAGCACCCTAAATATTACAAAGTGAGTCATCCCCCCCTCTAGCACCTTTAGACCTGAACAGATAATATATATACCCAAACAATTCGTTTCAGTCGAACTTGGTTGTAGAGCTTGTTCACGGCTAAAGGTGGGGGCATTTTCTTTCCAAAATCGGAAACAGCACGAAAACCAAAGATGGGTAAGAGTCTAAGTGGTTAAAATAAGTATTCCAAATCACTAACTTGGCAGGTCAATCAGGCTCGAACGATACGAAATGGGCATGGAAACTCAACGCATTGCCGGGGGAGACTGGCACCATAGTCATAAACATATACCGCAACAATACCTCCGAAGCTCCCATCACGACTGAGTGTTCTGCTCTATGTAAAGCTAAACAGTTCCTACAGGATCACACCCCTGAGGGAAGCGGTCTAGTAAAACTCCTGCTGCCACTGAAGTCTGGATATGTAGTCCAATCCGACTTTCTTGACCGGCGCATGGTCGACTGTCTGAATGTCGCCAAGGTCCAAGGCTTTGTCACACCAGGACAATGCATCGAAGGCTGCACTACCGAAGCATACCATGGTATGAGCCTTGCAAGCTTGCTTCCGTACTGTTACGGAGCGATCGTGGTACAAAATGACAGCTCATCTTCTGTTACAACCAAGTCTGCAGAAATCAACCATGAATTGGTAAAACGGCTGTCCTTCTCTTGGCTCACAAAAAACCCTGTACCTCGAAAGCGTCTGGCGCTTGTTGGAGCTGGTTCCTTGGCCAAGGTACAAGGTTACTTGTTGGCCGCTGCCTCACTGAACATAGCAATGGTCGTGTTTGATGATTCCAGCCACTGGCTATCTGATGACGCATATAGCCACCTTCGCGAAGAATTCGTGCCGCTAGACATGACTGTGAATATGGACATGGCCGACCGTATTGCAGCGGCGTTGAAGGGATATCAACATAGCCGGGAAGAGAAACACATTGATGGTGTGATAAGTGTCGATGAGCACCTTCATACCATCATTGCCCATACAGCCACACAGCTAGGTTTCAAGACATCGCCTCCAGAGTCTGTGGGCTTGGTCCAGAACAAATTCAAAACTCGCCAGCTTGACACAAACGTCTTTTGCCGACTCGTCCGCTCTCTGGGCGATCTAGAGAAGATGCTCTCCGATGACAGACCACAGCTTGCCTATCCCCTCATCATTAAACCTTCCAAGGGTTGGTCTTCTGAGGGCGTCTGGAAAGTAGCCAACGAGCAGGAATTACGTGAAAAGGTGCCTTTGTTATGGCGCGAATCTTTCGCCGCCTGGCACGGAAACGAAGTTGTCATCGAGACATACGTCGATGGCCCCGAAATCGACGCAAATATGGTCCTTGTTGATGGCGAGATTGTCTTCTTCGAGGTTAACGACGACTTCCCCAGTGCTGGGGATTACGAAAACAACGAAAGCGGTGCCCGCGTACAAAACTTTGTCGAGACGTCAAACATGTTACCATCAGCTCTTCCTCCGTACGAGCTTGAGTCGGTGCAGCAAAGACTACACGAGCTTGCCCTGGCCGCTGGTTTTAGAAATGCTGTGCTGCATATCGAGGCCAAGCTGCGCAATTCGAGCTGTCACTACGCCAAGACGGATTCTGACTCGGATGGACTTGTCGACCTGCAGCTCAAAACACCGGTAACCACGACAACACAGCCAAGGGATGTCTTCCTCCTTGAAATCAATCCCCGCGCCCCTGGCTGGCAAGAGGTCGAAGCTACCGCACATACATATGGCGTATCGTATTACAGCATCTCCCTTCTAAACGCCTTGGCCGATAAAGAGCGCATCGTGTCCTTGTGCAAACCCTTCCTGGGTGGGCCCCAATACCACATGCAGCTACTATTTGTCTCAGCTCAGAAGGGAGGCGTATACAAATTTGGCGACATTTGCACAACGGTGTTGCAACCAGACTTGAAAGCCTCCGGTCAAGAACAGGAGCTTGGTGCTCACGTTGTCAAATGTGCCAATCTCATGGAGGACGGTGAGGAAGTTCTTGATCCTAGCACGGGACAAGTCTATGGCAACTTTATTGCCTTTTTCCTAGGTATTTCTCGCACGAGCCGCAAGGAAGCGATGCATATTGGGCGTGAGATCGAGCGTCGGGTTAGGGATCACACGGATGGTTTCTGAGGCTTTGACTTTTTTTTTTTTTTTTGCGACGAGGGGCACTAGGAATCAAAGGTACTTTATAGGGTATCTTCATAGCAGTGACTGGAAGCTCTAAGGGCTTCAACAGCCCCGACACGTTATATATATCAATGACTGTTGAATTAAGTGTTGCCGGAATTTACATAATTTCCGACAAGTATTCATACCGTCTTATCAGTTCAAGGCAACTGCTCACATCATTTTGTATTTCAAGTGAAGGGGTACAGTCTTATTAGAAGGTGAATTTATTTAAATCGCATGGTAAAATGTTATTTTCCGATTATTGAATCTTAAGAGAACCTACGTTTAATGAATATTTATCCCTCAATGTTTTACAACCCGATTTTATTGTAGTTTCTAGATGAATCATTGGAGCCAAGACGTTGTGATGCTCAAGGGTTCCTGTTCGCCGCGGCTCCGCGGTCAAGATAACAAGGAGGAGAAAGTACACCCCTGCAACCCATGAATGAGGGGAATCAAGAGACAGCGATAACAGACATAAGAAGGCTGTGACTCCTCAGAAATAGTTTAGAAGCACTCAGACACAATCATCTTATTCATCATTCGCAGACCCCAAATTGCCACTGCATTCACCATAGGAGAATCCACAGTCGCAATTATGCCCCAAAAGAAAAACGACAATCCTATCTTGTACACCGAGGTCAACCAAGAAGAGCTTCAGGCCAAAACATCAAAGTACCTCCTCAACTATGGCACCAAGTTCAATAAAGACGTGATCTGTGGCAGCAGAGGGCTCTACGTGTACACAGCCTCCGGACACAAAGTGCTCGACTTCACATCCGGACAAATGTCCTGCTTGCTCGGCCACGGGCACCCAGAGATTGTGCAAACAATCACCGACCACGCAGCCTCCCTGGACCATCTCTTCTCAGGTATGGTATCGCCCCCAGTGGTCAGCCTAGGCGAACGTCTGTGCGATCTTCTGCCAAGCGGCCTCGACAAAGCCTTCTTCCTCTCCACCGGCGGCGAGAGCAACGAAGCAGCGATAAAGATGGCCAAGGTATACACCGGAAAGTTCGAAATCGTCGGACTAGGCGGTAGTTGGCACGGCGTGACAGCACAGGCACTCGGCGCACAATACCACTTCGGTCGAAAAGGCCAAGGTCCACTGATGCCGGGTATGCTGATGCTTCCATCACCGAACGCATACCGCTCTGTCTTCCGCCGTGCAGACGGATCCTACGACTGGGAAACAGAGATGGCATACGGCTGGCGCATGATCGATATGCAATCCTGCGGATCGCTGGCCGCTTGCATCGTGGAGTGTATACAGTCATCGGCTGGCATGCATGTCCTACCACCGGGGTACCTCGCAGCTCTGAAAAAAGAGTGCGAAAAGCGTGGAATGCTTCTTATCGTAGACGAAGCACAGACGGGAGTGGGTCGGTGTGGCGATCTAATGGCTTTCAACCATGAAGGTGTCGTTCCTGATATCCTCACGCTTAGCAAGACGCTGGGGAATGGCCTGCCGCTCAGTGCTGTTGTTACGAGTGCTGAGATCGAACGCGTGTGCATCGAGCGGGACTTCTGCTTTTACACGACTCATGTTAATGATCCGCTACCTGCTGCTGTGGGTGACAAGGTGCTTGAGATCGTGGTACGTGATGGGCTAGTTGAGCACTCTCGCGCTATGGGTAAGGTACTCCACGACCGACTAAATGCGCTAAAAGAGAAGTATGGTTGTATCGGAGATGTCCGTGGACGTGGACTTATGGCTGGGGTTGAGATTGTTGAGGATCAGGCGACCAAGACGCCCGCACTAGCTTTGGGTAAAGCGATCGGGGATCGGGCTTATGATTTAGGCTTGTGGGCCAACCTTAGTAGCCATCCTAGTTTTGGGGGTGCCTTTCGCATAGCCCCGCCGATCACTATCACTGAGGAGCAGCTGGTTAGTGGGTTGGAAATACTGGAGGAGGCATTTGCAACGACCCCTGGGACTATGCCTGTGTGATGAAAAATTGGTTGTTAGCTGCGGGTTTACTTTTCTAATTATATTGTGTTGTATTTTTCTTTCTGCAGCGTCCGGTCTCTGGACTGATTCCATCCTTCTAGCTACAACACCAATAGGGAGAAAAAAATATCTGGAAGAAAGATATCTTAATGATATCTGACAGATACTTGCAAATACGCCCAAAAAATTTATTCAAAACAAACGCTGAGACCGTATGGGCGGTGGACTATACCAAATGACCTCATACTTATCTATACAGTGTTCTTCTCCAATTTGGGCTTCGGCCAATGCACTTTCCCCTGGTAGTAGTGACGGAATTCAAATTATGAAGTGCCTTTCGACTTTTACTTGAACAGCCCTTTCCTTTCCCGCATCAAGGAATCTCACCTTCTTTTACTTCGTATCAAAATGCCGCCACTAGCCAACAGCCCGAAATTGGAAAAGCTGGTGGGACCGACTCTATAAGCTATCAACTGCGCGCGATATCAGTACGACCGAATTAAAAAAGAATTCATCAACAACCCCCCCCGTCGAGCCTGAACTACCCAAGATTTCGGCAGCGGATATGACTTCGACCGATGTAAACAGCTCTTTCGGTATCAGGGAAGTTAAGGGCCACAAAAGTTGGGAATTGCCGCGTCCCTTGATTCTCATCTGGCCAAACTCTGGTACTTAAACCACCATCCGTTCCAATTTATTATACCGATGAGTACATATCTATAGAAACGTGGCTCAACATGCCCTCAAAGCCCGGCGAAGCTCCATTGGATTGTAAAATAGATGCCATACGTTTCAGGATCTGCGAGAATCTGAAGACTAATGGGCTTTTGGATGGTCCGAAGGTTACGTGTACTCACTATTTTGAGATATCGCTTGAATGGGGACCGATTACCTGCCACAATTAAACAGTATAAATGTGTAGGAACGGCGGACTACGGCATATTCTTTGGTGAGCAAGATCACATGGCTTGCCATCTGATCGTACTAGATGCCGAGCAGAACCACCAAGGGCAACCTTTAGCATACATGGCAATGGTCCGGGCTAAACGGAAGGCCCACGGAGAACCGGATAGCACCGTTTGGGGTGTCCTTACTGATGGTCAATAGTTTTACTTTTCTCGACTGACCAACGAAGGGAAATGGTCTATTGTGGCCTATCGACTTCGTCAGGATGGCTGGAGGGATATCGTCAATGTGATGGCATATATGGTGTTACAGGGGCACCAGAATGCGGTGTCTGCGTTACGGTGAAGTGATCGAAAGACTGCGAGGCAATCGTCTCTTATCTAAGGCGCCACGAATTCCCTCTATCAAGCTCCAACCTAGCAATTCTCAAGACGCTATTGATGAGAACTCAACCTTCGCTTTTGGGTCTACATTCTAGGGCACTTTGGATTAATCCCATTCTATTACTAGTGACCTCTATACGGCACAGGATAAGTGTATGGCTATTATGAACTTGACTGTATATCATACAACAAGAATAGTCGCGTCTGCGGCCTTATAGCGTCTTTTTGGTGGTTTTCCCTTTATTAGCCTTGTATTCAAGTATAATAGAATACAGGCGTTGAAAACAATTAAAATGTGCAAAACAGGTTTCCTATGTCTTGACATTGAATCGGGGAATTGAGGGGGTTGGAATTTTCGTACGACCATTGTATCGCTTCGATAGTTTTGCCACCGTGGCTGGTGAAAATCGATAGTCTCTTCAAAATGGATCCAACCAAACAAGCTTCTGCTAAAAGTTGTCTGATTTTACCGAGCTGGCTAATCACAAGGCGGGACCTGGTGAGATCGGGTTAGCGATTAGCGGAAGGTAAATAAATTGCACCGAGCAAAAATAACCCTAACACCTCCACTCTCTGAGATCATTCTGAATCAATATTACATGATAACTGTCAATGGATAGCATGCAATGTGCGATCAGAATTGATCCCTGTGTCGTCATATGGAGGTTTCACTTCACGCCCATGGAAATCCAGACACATTTAGTGGGTTTTGTTCTAGATTTCTAGAGACACACCCTTATCGTGGCTGGTTACTGGCCGCGTTATAATTGCGATCATCTAAACCGCAGCCTATCAGAACCTCTTGTGAGACCCACCCTTGGTGAGCACTTTGTTAGTGGAGAGAATCCCGGTTGATTATTGGCTCGGGGCTTTTTGTCGGTGCATAGCAACCATGCGGTCAACACCTCGTTGGAGCCATGCGATCACAGAGTTGATGTGTTGTCTGTGATAACGCAATCATATATATTTATTGACATTGGATTGAAGTGATCGGAAATATATGTGGATCGGGGATTAAACGTGGTTGAATTGCAAGAAAAATCTGATTGTCTTGGACATTTCCAGGAACCAGATGATAAGAAACATGGAACGAGGGACGGGTAGAAAGACCAGTTCCAGGAAAACAAAGTTGATTTATTGGAAAGACCATGTGGAGTAAAAGGAACCAAGATCTCATTTGCTGAAGCCCAATATGGACCCACTTGGCTAACGCGATTGAGGCTTCAGGATGTGCTTATCTGGGATCATCGTGCGTAAAATTGAGAATCGCTAAAGTTCATCACAAAGGTTTTCAAAGGCCTTACTCCACAGGTTTAAGCCTGTTTACCGCGATGGGATTTTTATATATGAGATCCACATTTCCACCTCTCGACAATCTGCGTCACACACCCTCACAATGCGACCTAGTCTGTCCGTTACCCATATCGTAGGCGCAAGCCTAGTCGCGAACCAATTTGCGAGCGCCTTGTTGCCTCGCACGACAATCGACGATGCTTATGACTTTGTGATTGTGGGAGGAGGTCAAGCTGGACTCGTGTTAGGCGCTCGTCTTTCGGAGGATAAAAACCACACTGTACTTGTTCTTGAGTCGGGCGGGAATGGAGACGATTATCGCAAGCGCATAGGTGCGTTCAATTATTGGATCGCGCGGAGTCACGCGACCTTTCTGACGTAAATACAGATACACCGGCATATTCTTATTTCGACTCTTTATGGACAACGCCTTTGAATTGGGATTTCTACACTGTTGCACAACCTAATGCAGGAGATCGCGAGATTAATTGGCCTCGTGGCAAGGTCCTTGGAGGTTTGCACACGCTTCATATTTGACAGAACGAGGAACAGAGAATTGACACCGAGGTATAGGCAGTTCCGCCATCAATGGGCTGTATATGACCCGTCCGGGTGAAGATGAAATCAATGCTTGGAAAGATATGCTCGGAGATATGGATGGTGCTGATAACTGGTCGTGGGAGTCATTCTTCGCTGCTATGAAGAAAAGCGAGACTTTCACACCTCCAGTTGAGGATGTGATTGACGAGGCTGGAATTGTCTGGAATGCGTCAAATCACGGCACCAACGGGCCGATCCACACATCATACCCCGACTAGTATGTTGAACCCTATTCCCTAGAATTGAATGATAGGGCTAACACATTCCTAGCACATTCCCCGAAGTGGGCAACTGGTTAAACTCACTCCAAGCCATGGGAATTGATATTTCCGCCAATATGTACGGAGGCGAAAATATAGGCGCTGACGTCTCAACATCCTGCATCAACCCTTCAAATTGGACGCGTTCCTACAGTCGTTCTGCTTATCTCGATCCGCTTGCAGACCGCGGCAACTACGATGTATTGGCGAATGCGCATGTGACTCGCCTTGTTTTCGACAACTCTACATCTTCCGGAAAGAAAACGGCAGGTGCTGTTGAGTACACAACTGATAGCGGAGCAACAAAACTGAAGGTTAAGGTTAACAAGGAAGTCATCCTTGCGGGTGGCACCATCGGCAGCCCGGCCGTATTGCTCTACAGCGGTGTCGGCCCCAAAGACGTCCTCTCTGACGCTGGTGTTGACCTTGTATCTGAACTTCCTGGTGTCGGTCAACACCTTCAAGACCATTTCGTGAGTCCGCTTGTTATCGATAAAATGAGCGTGTAACTGACTTCGTTACACAGAGTGCCACAGTGAAATGGAGTACGAATGTGGACACCGCAGGTTCCATCTTTTATAACAACGGCAAAGATAAGGTGCGGTTCTGTCTATCCCTCATCCATCAAGCCCGTATGCTAATTTTCGCAGAATGATTCCAAGTTCCTCACTTATATCGATTCCGCTGTTGCCTACGTGAACGCTACCGCTATGTACGGTAGTAAGGTTGATGAGTATGAGTCGAAATTCCTCGCTTCAATCGATCAGTATGCGCCAAACACGACTTACGACGATGGCGTCGTCACCGGCTACAAGGCAATCTGTAACACAACGTCGAAGATCTTCGAAACCCCGACAGGTCAAATCGAGCTTCTGTTCATGAACAGCGATGCAAACGGCGATATCGGCATCACAGCTGCCCTCCAACACCCATTCAGCCACGGCCGTATCTACATCAACTCCTCGAACCCGATGGACTTCCCTGTCATCGACCCGAACTACCTGGACAACCCAGCTGGTGTGTACTCCCTGCAACCCACCTCTAATAAAAAGTCCCCAATGCTGACAATAAGACAGACGCCGAGATCCTCCTCGCCGGTATTAAGCTCGCCCGGCAAGTAGGCGAAACCAGCCCGATGAGCAAAGTTCTCACAAACGAAACCACCCCGGGATCAAGCGTCCAGACCGACGACGAGTGGATAGAATGGCTACGCAAGTCAGCCGGCACGGAATTCCACCCGTCCTCGTCGTGCGCAATGCTGCCCGAGAAGCAGGGTGGTGTGGTCGACGCCAATCTGCTCGTATACGGCCTTTCAAATGTGCGCGTTGCTGATGCTAGTGTCATCCCCATCGCCTTGTCTACGCATTTGATGTCCTCGACATACGGCATCGCCGAGCAAGCGAGCGATATCATTCGCGAATTCTACAACTTGCCAACCAAGCCCGAGACGGCTTTGAGTGGGTCGACTTCTACACCTACCAGCACCGCGGCTACCGCGAAGAAGAGTGGTACTGCGAAGAGCAATGGCAGTCCCGCTAGTCATGGCGGCGCTGCTCTCTCGCTTGTGTGGACCTCTCTTCTTGTTTCTGTACATGCTGTTGTTGGTTACGGCCTCTATCTCTAGGCTGGTGTTTGCGTTTGATGGTAATACGTAGTAATGATAATACGTGCTGGTTAAAATCCAGCGTTAGTATTTATGAAGTTCAATGTCTGCAATGTGTTTGATATCTCGGGAGAAGGGGAACTGGAAGTGTTTCTTTGTAATGATAGATACCTGCCTCGTTAGAGTCTGTTACATAGTATAAACCATTTTGAACATATACATCTGACTTGTAGAACAGGTAGAATATAAAGGCTTTCCATGCATCGACATACCAAAGACCTCAAATCTTTGACTTCCCATTCACAACCACAAAAGCCCCATCCTCCCTAACCTCGAAATCCTTACCATGCTCCCACCCAACCCACTCTCTAAGCGTATCAACACCCCCCTCCCCAGGCAACATCCCACCACCGGTCCACCCACCCTTGTCCGCCAGAATCGGTGCCGCAGGCGTACTAACCAGATGTACCACAGGCCGCTGCTCATACCCATCCTCTTCAAGCTCGCGCTGCTCCAAAACAGGCGTAGCACAAGCGTCTGTGCCATTAAAAACAGCCTCCCACTCCGCGCGCGTCTTCTCTTTAAACCTCCTCGTAAAGATCTCCCTCAAAGCCGGCCAATGCTTCCGATCCTCCCTCTTCGGCAGCTCCCCAATCTCAAACCCGAGCCCTCGCACCAACGCGGCATAAAACTGCGGCTCCAAAGCCCCAACCGCAAAATACCGCCCAGCATCCTTAGTCTCATACGTATCATAATACGGACACCCCCCATCGAGAAGGTTCTCTCCACGCGGCTCCGCCCACGAAGGAGTCTTCCTCCCGAGCCGTGGGAACGTAGCAAGATACGCCGAGCCATCAACCATATTCGCCTCGACGACCTGGCCGCGTCCCGTATGGGAGCGGGAGATAAGCGCGAGCAGGATTCCCTGGAAACAGACGGCACCGCCGCCGGCGAAATCGCCGAGGATGTTACCTGGGGCGTGAGGCTTTTCTGCTGCGCGGCCGAGCATGGACAGAACGCCTGAGACGGCGAGGTAGTTAATGTCGTGGCCGGCCATGTCTTTGTATTTCCCGTCGCGGCGGAAACCGGTCATTCGGGCGACAATTAGACGGGGGTTGTGTTTTAGGAGGACTTCTGTTGGGGAGAGGCCGAGGCGTTCGAGGACGCCGGGGCGGAAGGGGTCGATTAGGATGTCGGCTGTTGTGAGGAGGCGGAGGAGGATGTTTAGGGAAGCCTGGGAGCGTAGGTCGAGGGTTATAGAGGTTTTGTTGCGGGTTAATTGATCGCCGCTTATGGAGTTGGGTCGGTCTATGCGGAGGACTGAGGCGCCATAGTCGGCTAGGAGGAGGCCTGCGAATGGGCCTAGGGATGGTTGTTAATTGTGATTGTTGTGTTTTTTGGGGGTCAATTGCATACCTGGAGCTAGGCCTGCTAGCTCAATTACTTTGATTCCTTTCAATGGTGACATTTTGTATATTGTATGGAGATAAGTGAAGTTCAATGGGGTACCTCCCGGGCTGTTAAATACTTTCTCCGCATCCGAGGTCCGATATCAAAATGCGGGGAAATCGTTGCACCGTGGCACGCCGAACAACCATCCACTTTACTATGTATTATGTATATAATATCAGGGAAAGAAATATATATAAAAACATCTTTAATTTGATAGCCTACATAGTCGTCCATCCTATTTGAGCTTCGACAAACGCGCCTTCCGAAGATGCAGGGACACAATTGGGATCGGCAAGGTGTCGGTCATGTTCCCTGAGCGAGTTACCCTCTCTCTTAGGATTGACATTGTTATCCAACGGCTTCGAAGGCCCCACTATCATACAATAGACAACTCAGAAGCCTCTATACGCGTCGCTATCGAGCTGCTCATTCTTGACCGGCTACATCACTTCTCTGATGGCGGGGCGCTCGGACGTCTACAGCTCTAACCGAGGTAGGCGTTGATCTTGTACTCGCCGTGCCTACTGGTTATTCTGCCATCCTGATCCTCGATAGAGGAAATGAGGGTGAGTCGGGGGAAGAAACTGCCGACTCCAACTATCATTCATAGTTAGAAGAGTGCGTCTAGAGTGTTATAGAAATTCACATGGCTGTCGCTTTATCCACTTCATCACATGAAGAATTGATAACAACCAAATGCACTTAGATTTCACATATGGTACGAATTTGACACATTATCATCAAATGAGAATGCTGTGCCCAGGATTTAGTCGCCCGTACAAATAGGGGATTAGTAGAGGGTTCGAAGGTATAGAAAAATATAAGGTAATATGGTATTTTTATACAAAGAGCATCTCTGCCTATTGTAAATAGTAAAACAAGCAAAAATAAATGAAAAAGAGGTCATACTCGACAGCGACATCTTGAAATGGATATCATTAGGAGATTGAGAACAAACGGACTCGACCGCTCGCAAAGCTTCAATTCGAAGATGCAGGGGTCTCGCCACTACTGGCCAGAGTAAATCACAAAAAGAGGCCAAGAGGTATTGAATCACCCCAGAGACTGGAGATCAGATAAAAGAGAATATATAATAAAGACAATATCGTAACGAAAAAAAAAGGAACCAGTCGCTAGAAAGTACCAGTTCTTCTTGAGATCAGCATCGTGAGATCAATCATATCGCGTAGATGATGAGATCATGCTGTCCAGGCAAATGGGCAGCTTCACAGCATCATGAACATGGAAATAGCGACGGCGAGGACGCCACCGAAGAAGCCGGTCACGTTGGCACGCGAGGCCGCACCGGTGTAGACCGGGGACACGCCCACGGGGTTGCCGGTGGGCTCTGTGGTTGTGCCCGTAGCAGTGGTTGCGACGGTGGGCACGGCAGTGCGCGAGGGTGAGGGGTGGAATACAATGCTGGACGACGGTCTGCCGGCGTGGAAGCCTCCGGCTCCATTGCTAGGAATAGGCTTGGAGGAAGGAGATGGGACCACGGGGGCGACACCAGGCACTGTAGCCTCGCCGGTGGAGACAGATCCGGGGTTGGATCCGGAGCCAGCGCCAGAGCCAGAGCCGTTTCCAGAAGAGCCAGGGCCAGAGCCAGAGCCAGCACCAGGAATAATGACAGTAGCGGTGGGTGCCGGGATGGTGAGGGTTACGGTGCTACCAGTAGGACCACAGTGCTTGCAGAAAGTCTCAGTGGTGGTGTATCCCTCAGGTACCGAAGGGGCAGTGGGCTGCGACACAGCCTCAGTGGTAGTGGTAGCAGTGGCGACGGGCTTGGTGAGGGTCACAGTAGTAGGGGTAGCAGCGCAGTGGGTGCAGACAGTGACGGTAGTAGTCCAGCCTTCTGGGATGTCGGCAGTGGGAGTGGCAGGGCCGGAAGTAGGGGCAGTGATCTCGGCGGTGCCAGTGGCGGTGGCAGTAGCGGGGGAGTTACCAGGGCACCAGGTCTTGGTAATGGTGGTGGTGATGGTGGTGAAGCCAGTTGGGCAAATATCAACGTAGGAGGTCACGATGATAGTTGTGGTGGTACCCGGAGCCAAAGAGGAAGGCGAGCCAGAGACGGAGGGGGTGGCGGTGATACCAGCGGGCGCCGTGGTGGTCTCACTGCCAGTAGGCTTGGAGCCTCCGGTAGTGTTGTCGCCGGTAGGCTTAGATCCTCCGGTGGTATTGTCGCCAGTAGGCTTAGAGCCGCCTGTGGTTTCGACGCCGGTAGGCTTAGATCCTCCAGTGGTGTTGTCGCCAGTAGGCTTAGATCCTCCAGTGGTGTTGTCGCCAGTAGGCTTAGAGCCGCCTGTAGTCTCGACGCCGGTAGGCTTAGAGCTTCCAGTAGTATCATCGCTGGAAGACGGGACACCGGTCGGGATGGCACCTTCGCTAGTGGAAGAGGCGCCAGACTCGGTCGCAGAAGAGGCAGGGGTGGTACTAGAAGAGTGGTCCGAGGGGAGGGGAGTCGAGCTTGAAGCAGTGTGTGTGTGGGCATGGGTGTGTGTGTGAGAGCCATGTCCATGTCCATGTCCATGTCCGTGTCCGTGGCCATGCGAGCTGTGGGTGGGCTTTTCAGTGGCGGAAGGGTGTCCAGATGAAGCAGAAGGACTAGGAGTCACAGAGCTGATAGGGACGCTGGAAGAGGCAACGGAGGTGGACGAAGCAACAGAGCTAGAAGAAGCAGAGGAGCTAGAAGAGGCGACCGAGGTGGACGAAGCAACGGAGCTGGAAGAAGCAACGGAGCTAGAAGAGGCGACCGAGGTGGACGAAGCAACGGAGCTGGACGAAGCAACGGAGCTAGAAGAGGCGACCGAGGTGGACGAAGCGGCGGAGCTGGAAGAAGCAACGGAGCTAGAAGAGGCGACTGAGGTGGACGAAGCAACGGAGCTGGAAGAAGCAACGGAGCTGGAAGAAGCAACGGAGCTGGACGAAGCAACGGAGCTGGACGAAGCAACGGAGCTGGACGAAGCAACGGAGCTGGACGAAGCAACGGAGCTGGACGAAGCAACGGAGCTGGACGAAGCAACGGAGCTGGACGAAGCAACGGAGCTGGACGAAGCAACGGAGCTGGACGAAGCAACGGAGCTGGACGAAGCAACGGAGCTGGACGAAGCAACGGAGCTGGACGAAGCAACGGAGCTGGACGAAGCAACGGAGCTGGACGAAGCAACGGAGCTGGACGAAGCAACGGAGCTGGACGAAGCAACGGAGCTAGAAGAGGCGACCGAGGTGGACGAAGCGACCGTGGTGGAAGTGGTGGAAGGCGGGACAGTCGAAGACGAAACAGGAGGCACAGTTGAGGAATGGGTTGGGGTAACGGTCGTAGATGTGACAGGGAGAGGAGCGCAATCATACAAGATCTCCTTGATGTGCTCAGTGTAAGTTTCTCCATCGATGACATTGTTGTCACCGGCGGTGGCCTCCCACAGCATAACACCACCGAAGTGCTTGGGGTGCTTGTCCATGTAAGTCTTGACAAGGGGCTTCACCTCGTCGGGAGTCAGGTAGAATCCAGTGTTAGCGGCATCCTCGGAAGCGGGAAGACCGATGAAGAGCTTAGTATTGGGGTTGGCGCTCTTCTCGATGACACCGACCCACTCATCGAAGTTGAACTTGCCCGTGCCGTGGACGTAGTCCGCAGCAGAGCAACCCTGAGTGTTGTAAAACTGAACCCAGAGGAAATCAAAGTACGAGTTGGCAATAGCGTCGCTGAGCTGAGCATCAGGGATGGGGCACTGGGGAGCACCCGAGATGTAGTAGGTTTGTTCGGTGCTCGTGGCGTAATGCTCGCGCAGACGATTGATCATGGCGGCGTATCCTGTATGGGGGTGTTAGAGAGAGTCCGGTCAGGAATTTAGAGAGTTAGTTGAACATACCAACTCCTCCGTTGTACTCGATATCAAAATCGAATCCATCGACTGAAGAAGTGAGGAATGGGCGAGGGTAAAGTTGGCCAAGCATGGTCTCGGTCCAACCCAATGAAGAAACCGCTGAATTGTAAGGACCGAAGGAGTACCACAGGAAATCCGCAAACCATTCACCAGTGGCATCGTCTGGCAGAGACTGGGTTGTGGCACTACCACCGCCGATGGACAGCAGGACTGTCTTGCCAGCAGCCTTGCAGCTGGGGATATCCTGCCAGATCTGGTGGCAGCCACTAAGCAGTTCGGTGCCGGGGAAGAAGGCGCCATCACACTGATTGGCAAAGTTGGAACCAGGGAAGTCACCCACATGTTGAGGGAACTGATTGATGAACCCGATGTTGATGATGTCCGAAGTGGTCTGTTCACAGAAATGCTTGAGCCGGGGCTGGTCATAGCCTTGTCCATAATAGACAGCAACATTATTCTTCAGACTAGCATCGACGGCAATAGCAGACGATGCAAAGAGTGACAGGGCCGACACAGCGGCAAGAGACTTAAACATCATGGCTAGAAATGAATGTAGTAATTAGATGCAATAATTAGATGCAACACAAATCGCTGGTTAACCAATAAAAGGAATGGCAGGTTAGCTCGCGAACAACGAGAGGACGCAGACAAATATCTGCTTGGGAATTTTTCCCAGAGAGCTCAAAATGAGAGTGTTGATGGTCGAAAGAAAATAGAACAACTCTCCGGGGGAAAAGAGACTGAAATACATCGAGCGCCATCTGGGGGCTGTCCATCTCCGCCCCCTGGAGTAGATGCCGACCTCCGACATAGTGCGCACTAATCAAAAAGGAGAACAGAGCTATCAAAGCGTGGAAATGAGAGTGCATGATATCCGGATGATTCCACGACTCATAGGTCAGTGCCACTCCGAACGCACTCCACCGGTGCAGGGCAACCCAACACAGAGTTACAAGGTGGATTCAAATCTGAATAGTGTGAACACTAGACCCGGGGGCGAACCGGATCTATTTTCACAGCAGTGATGATGCTGACTTCATGGCAACTCAACTTGAAAGTCTCATGGACCGGCTTTTCCACTTTCGACTGGTGACAGGCCAGACGCAGGCATAATACGGGCACGCAGCCAGTGGCGTAAAAGAGTCACATCCGAGTAAGAAAAGAGTAAGCCATCAGGCATAATAGGCGTTGTTTGGAGAGGGGTATGTGCTGGCCCGGTGCCTATTTCGGCCTATCTCGGTGCAGTAAAATTGCAAGAGCCGCATAAAAGAAGCTAAAAGACCCTAACGGACTCTAGCCGCATTCAAACAGGGTCATGACTGGAGTAGAAGGAGTTAGCTCGATGTACAAAATCCAATCATAGCCTATCGCTTAGGCACAAGAGCACGGATACCTCGGGGCCCACCGGCCATTGTATATCGGCTAAATCCGAGTGTGTTGGATAACATATTGCATATTGATGCAGGAAGGTAGGAGGATGGAAGGAAAGAACATTCGTTTGACAAGTGTTTGTATAAATAACTCGAAGAGCTAGAGTGTATAAGTGAGTGTCCACGGGTTACAGGGTAGAAGGATATGGTTTGAGGTCTCCCAAATCAAGGAGTTCAAGACCGGAGGCTAAAACTTAATAAGCCTACGCTAAGCCCTCCAGGGCCAATAGAGTGGGTCAGACCCCTTCCAGGTACACCAATCATAAGTGTCGATCCGGAAAGAAGCCGGATCACCATTTCCATTTGTTTACAGCAATCACAGCAATCATAGCACTTACGGCACTTTAAAATTGATGTCTCACTTCATTTCGAATTGATCGCCTCTAGTCCCTCTTGGTTTTGTTTTGACCTAAACTGGTCTTGAGATGTAACCCTGTGTAGGGTACAGAGTGCGTTGGACACGTTCTAACCCACGGCCCCCAAAACTTCCACGTTATATTTTCCTTTTTATTTCCCGGTTTATGCAAGGTACCCATGTGTGCTTCGGAGATATGCCCGCTCTCAGGGCACGTTTAGGCGACAATAACGCCACTCATCATCCTGCCTGATTCCTCATTATTGAAGCGCTAGCCAATCTTGGATGTGCGCAATTTACAAATAGAGTCAGGGCACCGGTGAAAATGGAGGCCAGAAACGGCCGCCTTTCCTTTAACATTGAGGAGTGACCCTCCACCCTGATCGCCTCCCTACAACATATACTACCACTATTTTGCCTAACTGCCCAGGCGCACCCACACTATTAGTCATCATCCAGCCCTTGCCCACCTGGGCAGGTGTCAAGATGCCTACATATGTAGGGTTCTTCCCTACTTCAACGCTTACTCCCTCCGTTTCCACCGGCGAACGAAATGACGCCAAGAATGACTCTCTGTAGCCGAAGTCAAATTTCCTTCATTTCCGACCGATCTGATCGAGCCCCTACAACATACCTGCCTTCTCTCCTCCTCTCCCTCTCCCTCTCCTTCTTTCTCGTTGTTCTCATTCTCCATTCTCCAACCCTTTCAGTCCAACATATCTAGGAGTTTCCTATGCACATGTCCGAGGGTTCATGGTGATTTAAAAAGGCGGGTATTACATCCCAAATGAAAATGATTAACCCTCGAATACCAGAATGCATCCTCGGCTTTTGTGAGAAGGATCCATCAACATGCATGCCAGCGGTTACAATGTGTTTCTAAAGGCGCCGAATGATAGACTCATCAACCCTCTGGGCAGCGACAATGCTCCACAGTTAGGGAGACGATGTCATGGGCGGCAGGAAATATCGCCGTTTAACCAGCAACACGTCACCTAATAACGACCTCAAGGTATCAAATACCAAATATATGAAAGCCTCATGGTAACTGAGCCAACAATTGTTAGCAGACGCGAAAGAATACTGCGCAGAATCAGTTCACCTTCTGCTGTGATACTTAAAGCCCGCTCACCAAGAGAACTAACTCAGCGACACCGGGATCGCACGCTTGCCCTCCGATCCCCTTCGGAACAAGGTGAAGAAGGCAAGAGCAAATTAACATATATCTAACCGATGATCCATTGATGCAACCTGAGCACGGCTTGTATAAGAAATTACTGGAATCTGTTGACCGGCAATGGAACGTCTGTATACCGCGTCGGAACTTTCTATGTCACATTATTCACATGGGCGCGATCTGCTGATGACCACATTGAGTAAGTGTTCTAGCGTTCTCTGTTAATGTTAATACAAACAGAGCTAATTCAGAAGTGTCTACCGTTATTGGGTGATTTGAAGGTTTCACCCAACAGTGCTTCGTCTTATGTTGCCTAGAGCTCATCCTTGTAATTATCGTGCGCCAGGTCGACAGTATATCCTTCACGTTCATAGTCGTATAACTTGTCAAGTCGGATAATATTAACTCATAGCTCGAGGTAGATGAATTCATCGCTTGAGTTATCCGTCATTAGCTGATTAATTGTTAATCCATGATATAAGCGATTACATCGAACGAGATATTGTGCAGCCGATAGAACCGTGTTTCTGAATAAGTAGATATAGCCTTAGGCCCCTCTAGTAGGGGGCGATTCCCCAACCTGAAAGCTTTAACTATGTTTTCCAACCTTAGTTCCGTAATTTGGTAGTATGTGAAGTAGCAGGAATAGGTCGTAGAGGACGATAGTAAAATCACCTCGCGGCGCGCGGTAGCTGATTAGGACAGGCGGCCGCCTAAACGCAACTTCACAGTGAGTCCTCACGGGTGATATCTTGCGATAGCATAGTATTCAGTCGAGGTGAAATCCTCTGGGACAGAAGGGTAGTTCTGGCATAGAGTACTATTGACCAGATTTTTCAGGGATAACTTAGGGATGGCCGCTCGACCGAGCAGTCTATGGTAGGAAGAGCATAGACTCTAGGATCGTTTAGGCCGGCTGCTGTGATCGACAACACTACTCAGAGAAAGAAGCGAAGGATTATCATCATCCATATAGTGTAGACTAATGGGTAAAATAAATTTACCAGGAAAACTCCACACAAATGCTTTCACTACGGTTGAAGTCTCTTCTCTGTATTAGGAAGCAACTATATCAGATCATATTTATTGCACAAAATATTAATGCCCCAGTGCAAAGCACCGTGGGTTGGCTATAATTTAAGGATTCTTTGCCCGTGTGTAACCTAGGCGGGTGAAATATATTGGGAGCAGAAAGGCCGTCTTACGAGCCATCACCGAGCTGCGTGCAAGAGAGCCTTTCCGGCCCATTGGCAGGCTGGTGATGATTCCATTTCTAATAGCAATAGTAGTAAGATGTTTTATACCGGGAAGACTGCCAGGATCGGGCATAACTTGAGCAGAGCATACGTTGCGTAGGCGAGGGCAAAGTTGTCGAAAATAGCAGATATTGTATAGTGGTAAGGGACGTTAATACCTCACTAGTAGCAACAAAACGACGATAGAGTCTTTGTCGGTGGGTTTTCTGGCGGCAGGCTAGTCTTATTTTATATACAGGCGACAATGTAGGTCGTGACAGCAGCAGCATAGCACAGTGTGTGTATGAGGGGATCCCATGCGGGCGGCATATGTATTAAACAGAATGAAGTTGCATAAGCTAGGTAGGTCGTTATAATACCTATACGCGAGGTTGGAGATTGAAAAGTATTCCGGTTTACTACACTATAGAATTAGTGATATATAAACAGAAATCAGACAAGCCTTTCAACCCACATAAAGTATGATTTATGATGATAAAATGTCTGGGAAAGCACAGATTGATATATGTGACAGGACAGGCAGTGGGAGAATGCAATATAGGGAAACAGGAAAAGAACGAATGGCCAGAGCGAAGAAAGTCCAAAAGGTATTGACGAGCAGGCGACACTAAAGCAGGGTAACAGCGAATATAGGGGGAGGGAGAGAGATTAGGGCGATATACCAGGATAAGCGACATACCTAGCCCACTGCTGGTTGGGCTTTGCGGAACACTAGATAAGCTTAGTAAACCAAACCCCAAAACAGCGACAGAAAGGGGAAAGACTCGAGGAAAGACAACACCAACACGTCAATTGGTGTTTCTCGCAGCGTCAACTCATAAGATCAGCATCTCGCAAGCCTACGATTTGTAACCCCTTTTAAGCTATCCCTTTGTTTTGGGGCATTCTTTGGCATTCTTTCACTGTCGCCTTTGGCCGTTTATCAACATCATTCCTGTCTTTAAACGGTATCTTTACCCTATATTATTTACGACGGAGATCTCAATATACAATAATGTATTGTATATACCAATGATATGTAAGACGAGCTAAAATGACACAAAGGAGAACCTCTAGGGCTTGGAAGTTCACTCGACAATCTGACTAATCTCAATATGCGCCAATTGGCGGTCCTATGATTTTCCGGGTTTTCTACCATTGCCCTATGGCATTCGACATCTTAACGTAATATTAATTCACTGCCGAGTGATCCACCGTAAAACTCATACAAAGTAGTAAATACGATATTTTCCAAACTTATATCTGAACAACCACTTGGTTTTCTTTGCCCCTCAATAGCTACTGATAAGGAATTTTAACCCTGTATAATATATCAATTTAAGAAATTCGAAAATCTATATCATCATGGGATTGATAATTACTTGTTCAAAGCCAGAAATCCAGTGACTGTGTTGTACGCAAAATCCTCCACAATTTGGCCACCGTATGTTCTATGATTCCAAATGGCTCCGCCGCTTAAATTATCCGCCCGAGATTCGCCATGTGGCGCCATTGGCCTCCTCGGCCTTTCCCATTCGCCTTTACCCCTTTTGGCTTGTTGGGCCGTGCATTAGAGTGCTCATCTCACCGAAATTTACCCTGCCGAAGAAAACTAATCTCAAAACTCCAGAGTTGATTTTCAACCGGTGCTTCAGAAATTTTAGGCGCCTGATGGCATAACTTTGTAGGCGGTTGGTAGACGGTAGAGCCTTCAAGCGGTGTGAAGCAATTTTGCGTAGTCGGGGCCACTGTATATATATTGCAATTACAAAGTCATAAATTTTTTTCCAAATCCCCTACAGGAGCTAGATATGACCTAAAAGGCATTGAACGATAAGCAACCCCATATAGACTACGAGTACCGTTATTAAGATATCAAGTAGTAATTTATCGCCATGTGTTTTGCGGCGGACCCACTCGGTAGTGAAATACGTTATCTCTTCCTGCTGTTGCCTGCACTTACTGCCCGTTCTAATTGCACTCCTAATACGGAGTATTGATGGCCCGTTTTAGATCCCATTCAGCATTGCGAGTGAGACCCTAACGGTCCTGGTTCTTAGACACTCTATGAATCGCTTCTAGCGGTCAAATTATATAAGCTCAATGCGAGATAAGACTTCTGGAAGGATTCAAACTCTTCTGCATGTGGATTATTGGCTTCCAAGGTTCCGTCCAAGATATATTAATCGCTATAATGCTCGCGATAGTGGGTCGAGCTAACACAAGAAATCAATAGCCCATTCAGTGCGCCACATGGTTGGCACGTGGTTGCACTCCACAGGGTTTGACATGATTGGACGACTCATCCAAGACAAACTGATCCCCATTTAGGTCAAGAACAATCTCGGCATGGTTCCACAGACGTACGCTCCCGGATTTCCCGCTGCTTAAGTGCGCGTTTCCCACCGTTACCTTCAGCAATCATCTTTTTCACCCTCCGGCCTTCTTCGCGATTATGGGTTTCTTCCGCACGTTGAGCCTGACGGCCACGGCCACGGCTATGGCTTTGGTTGCAGAGGCCCATGTATGTCGATCCCAGACTACTGCTCCCAGCGTCAGAGTCGAGCAGGGTCTCGTCAAGGGCTTTGACCAGAATGACACTTCCGTCTATCTAGGCATCCCCTTTGCCGAGACCACCGCTGGCGAGAACCGCTGGAAGGCCCCCAAGCCCATCACCTCGTTCCCCAATGGTAAGTTCGAGGCCACTGCCTATGGACCATCCTGTGCCCAGGTGATGTCTGGCACTTCCATCACCGACCAGAGCGAGGATTGCCTCAACCTCAACATTTGGACACCGGGCAATGGTTCCAAACTGCCTGTATTCGTCTATATTTACGGCGGTGCCATGGTCACCGGCGGTAGCAGCAATGCCCAATGGCAAGGTTTTAACTTTGCCCGTAATGATGTTATCTACGTCAACTTTAATTACCGCGAGAGCATCTATGCCTCGCCCAATGCCCCTGAGCTGCAGGGGGAGTCCCAGAACTTTGGAATCCTGGACGTGGAGCTGGCCATGGAGTGGATTTACAAGAACATTGAGGGTAGGTTCCGCTTTCTCTTAAACCACCTTTTGGCCTTTTACTAACGTCGTCATTAGCCTTCGGTGGTGATAAGTCTCGCATTGTGCTGGGTGGCCATTCATCCGGTGGAGTCCACGTTGATCACTATCTCTGGAATCACCCTGATACCTTCCTGGCCGGCGCGATTGAGATGTCTGCCAATGCCCAATCTGGTCCGGCCATTGCACCTGTCGGTGTCGCACTAAAGCAGGTGGTTCAGGACATGCTGGATGCCGGCGTGACTCTTGCCTGCACAGCTGAAAACTACACTCTGGACTGCCTGCGTGCAGCAGATACTTACGCCTTCCAGACGACCTACTTCAACTCGACCTCGAACACCTGGTTCTCTCCGGTAGTGGACGAGATTACCCGCTTCTCCAACTACACCGACCGCTTCGCCAAGGGTAACTACCCAACATCAGTCCCGCTGATCGTCGGCAACTCCGACCAGGAGGGCGAGATCTTCGGCTACGTCTACGCCAGCGAGAACACTAACTTCTCGTCCTGGATCGGCACTTTTGATGCTGACATTGCCTTCGTGCCCGCGGAACAGCTCCTGGCCGCCTACGACGAAGCCGACTATGCCTCTGTCTCCCTGATGAGCGGTGCCTCTTACGGCGACGCGCGCTTCCTCTGCGCGACTGACGCCCTGCTGGACCTGCGCGCCGCCAAGCAACCCACCTGGATCTACCGCTGGTTTGGCAACTACTCGAACGTGCTGCCGATCCCCAATCTCGGGCCCTCACACGGCAGCGAGGTGCCCTTCTTCCACGGTGGCAATGAGTGCTTCTCGCTTCTAGACGGCGTGACCGATGCGGAGCAACAGCTGGCGGACTACCTAAACGCGCGTTTCGTCGAGTTCGTTAAGAACCCCACCGCTGGGCCTGGCTGGGATAAGGCACAGCCTGTTAATGGTCCCTTGGCGCGCTTGGGTGTGTCTGGGCATGAGGAGGAGATTGTGACGAGCACGACTGGCGTGTACAACGCCCGCTGCCAGAAGGTCTACAAGCCCAACTATCCTAAGTACCCAGTGGTGCTCAACCCTGTGTTGCTGGCCTAGAGTGTGTGTGAGAAATCATTGTGGCCTTGCCTTGTTCTGTATAAAAAAAATTAGATCTAGAATTATTCACCTAATTTCAATCGAATCGTGAACCATCACAGAATGAGCCTAATGCAGGTACTACCACGGTTCGGTAACGCCCCCCAAGGCTAAAATCCTGCAAACAGTATTGCAACTACATCGGCCCCCACAGTGGCGTGAAATGAGCGGCAAATCAAATCCTTCTCCCGGAGCACCCGGCTTTTCTTTTAAAGTTCCGACAGAGCGCAGAAGTGGCACTACTAAAAATGATCTGGATCGCGACTCCCACGTTCTCTCCTTTTCCTATTATAGATTTAGAAGAATAATTTTTTTTTCCACCCCAGTTATTGTATTATTGATTGTTTACTAATGTATATCGCGTAATGTTGCTAGTTGCGGAGCACCGGCTTCGAATAAATTAAAGCATATAACTGCCGAATGGGGAATCTCCAAACGCACGAACTTTCGCTTGAGATTACATAGTACGATAACAACTACCTAAATGTGGTAAACTTGGAATCTATCCGAGCCACCCAATTCTGGAAATCAGTGAAATCTTGGAACATTAGAACATTCCCAAGGTTCGGAAAGATTTAGCGTCTAGAAAGCTCCTATGGTTGCAACACCGATCCATGGAACACTTGGTGGGGCCATAGGCTTGGAATCAGTTGGGACCGATGTAAAATTCCCGTCTAATACAGTAATTATCGACGTTTGCCCCATATTCAAAGCACAGATGTTATTTTACCAAGAAAGATACCATCCATCCCATACGAGGTGGATGACACAACGAGTCAGAGTGCTTCAATCTAAGTTTAACCTGTTCGATAATGTGTGCTAGGGCCCTCCTAAAGCAGTGGGCCCTGGTAAAAGTGTTTCACTGCACTCTCTTGATTTGGAGAGTGGCTAATGTCTTGTAGATAATTTTATAATAATAGATAGCTGGCTCATTATTTTCATGCTCCGAGTCTTGCCTTTTCCCTCTCTCTGCGGTTTGTGACTGAGATAGCAAGCAAGTCAACATGGCGCGCCCAGATCTAGGGCAAGTGGTATGATATCTTCCCTTCAAATTCCCCACTACCTTGCTAAATGGGTTTCCGTTGTGCAGGTGGCCTGGTATGTCTGCACAGTGGCGGCATGCATATTCCTGGTTTGTCGCCTTGTGGTCCGCCTGCAGCTCCTGAAGCGGATTTACCTCGACGACGTGTTCGTTATTATGGCTTCCTTGTGTCTAATCGGCGATCTGGCAATCCAACATTATATGTTCAACCTGGGTAGGTGGTTCGAGTATTGAACTGGTGGAGCAAAATTTTCGAGGAGTCCACTGACGGTAGCTGGCACAGGCATGTCTGAAATGGCGAACACAACCATGCAGCAGAAGATTAGTCTGATGAAGGTAAAACAGCCTGCGTTAGGAAGTATACACAGTTACATTGTTATTAATGCCTAGTTTATCTCCTAGATGATCATCCCGGGCTCCACATTATACGTCACTGCGCTGTGGTTGATCAAGGCTAGCATGGTGATCTTCTACAAGCGCCTTGCAGATCGCACCCGGTATCAGATGGTGTACAACTTCACACTTGCTTTCCTGGCTGCCACCTGGCTAGTGCTATTTTTCGATATTGTCTTCAAGTGCTACCCACCCCGGCGGCAGTGGGATGGGCTCACAAACCCTGAGTGTGAGAAGATGCTTCTATACCAACTACCACAGATGCAGAGACTGACGCTCTTTTAGTGGCATGCCCCCAAGGACCCTCCACAGTCAATTACTGGCTCACTATTCTCTGTAAGACTATATTTCTTGCTTTACTTGAACTATCAACTAACTTTTGCAGTCAACATCTTCAGTGATGTCTTCAGTAAGGATCCGAGCTCAATTCATCAGAATTTCTCCGTCTAACCCCATTCAAACAGTCATTTGCCTCCCCATTGCGCAAGTTGCACGACTCAAGATGCCCAGGAAACAAAAGTGGGGTGTCATCTCTGTCTTCCTCCTGGGTGGCCTGGTAGTCATCACTAGCAGTATGTCTCCCCTCCTCTGTCCCTTTCATCTCCTTCCTCCAACTAAACCACAATGTACCCAGTTATCCGGGCAATCTACTCCCACCGCAACGAACAAATGATCACCTGCACCGTCTCCATGGTTGAGACCGCCATCGCCATCATCGCTTCCTGTCTCCCCGTTCTCCGCACCCTGGTATTCGGCTCACACTCTCGTACGGGAACGTATAGCGGCCGCCGCGGCTACGAGCTCTCGCACTCTGGCGTGCACACCGGCGCCCAGGCCAGTAAGCAGCACACCACCGTCTCCGTCTCACGAAGTCAAGTGGACCGCGGCGCAGATGACATCTCGTTCAATGACTCCGAGGATGGATTGGTGAAGGATACCGCACCGGTTACCGGGGCGGGGATTGCAGTCAGGACTGAGTATTTCGTGCATGAGGATCGTTCGTAAGGATGCTTGGAACTTCTAAGAGGCTAGCTTGGGAAGCGCTGACCTTGTTGATGATGCATCCCATCGGACATAAGATATATAATCACATAGACGGCCATGACCATACCCTTAAGATTTCGTTGGGGTATTATTATGACAATAGAATATTCGTGGTATACCCAGAATAAAATGTTAGAATATAATTTCATTCATAAAAAAACCATCATCTACTTTTATGTGTCTTGTTGCATGGTTATGGTTTGCCCTGTTATGTGGGTGGCTGATTTCCGCCCCCACTCAGCACTTTCAGCCTCCAGGGCTTGCTCCTTTGGTTATTTTTAGATTTGTCCCAATCCTTCCACCTTTGCTTCTCATCCCTCCATCTTTCTCATGATTTCCATCAAAGCGCGTCGTAGCACACCCAAGGTTCGAACAGGGTGTGCCACCTGCAAGTGAGTATATTGGCTAACGCTCAGTACACCGCTTCTAACTGAGCCAGAACCCACCGAATAAAATGCGACGAGCGACGTCCCAGATGTGGCCAGTGCACTTCCGCTGGACGAAGCTGCCCCGGATATCCCCAAGCTCCCACCCCCAACCCGAAATCAAGATGTACAATATTCCATTCAAAGTACCCGGCGGTCGCGCCGACCGTGAACTACTTCATTACTACTGTTGCGAAGCAGCTAGCTCCTTATCTAGACTCTCAGATACTACGCTATGGACGCACCTCATCCTGCAGAGATGTGAAGACCAATCCGTTATCCGCAATTCTATTGTTGCGCTCACCTCCCTGTATCGCGACTATATGCTTCTTAGGTCACCGCGGTTCGAAGTCTCAGTCAAACATATCCAGCGTATTACCAGATCGCACTCTCAACTTCGTGTACATCTTACCCGGGACCCTTCAGCTGAGGTTGCGCTCATTTGCAGCCTCATATTCTATACCTTTGAGTGTTTGATCGGCAATATCCAACAAGCATTGTGGCATCTAGACCAGGGTCTGACTCTCCTGCGAAGGTTGCAAACAGATTATCCGTATCTTGTGTATGGCCAGGAGACATATGCGCAATTGGTGGCGATCTTCTCTCAGCTTGATATTCATGCAAGTATTTTTTCAGTTGAGAGAATACCTATTCTCAGGCTTGTGTCGCCGGAACAAGTCTCGGGAGAGGTGCATACGGTTCCAGAGCGGATTTCTGGCCTATCCGATCTCGAGACCTCGCTTACCGTGCTCCAGAATTGGACTCTATGGCACCTAATGGAATTTGTGGAATATAAGTACCTACCTCAATCTCAAGTACCATCTATTGTTCTTCGGGAAAGGTTGCAGCTGGAAGCTCAACTTCAGAAATTGGAAGAGATTTCGGAGAACATGAGCACAAGTGAAGATTTCCAGTCTTTTACTTCCGCTCAACGCCAACGACTCATTCTTCTACGAAGTCAGGCACTCATCTTTCACGCAGTCCTCTTGGAAAATACTATCTGCACTCTGAATGGCTCTCAGAACCTCCTAGAAGTGACTTGCAGATTTGATATCGCTCTTACCCAAATATCAACACTATTATCTTTATCTTCTGAATCGAAATCTGGATCCAACTTTGAAAATAACACTCCTTCCAATCGAGCCTTCACCCTTTCGACAAATATCATTGCGATGCTATACTTCATCTGCCTAAAAACAAGCGATCGCCGCATCTTACGCACTGCACTCTCTTTAATGCAGGAGTCTCTATTTACATCTCGCGATGGACTTTGGGATGCGCGTACTGCTGTGACTATTGTTCGAGCAATGCTTTCTGAAGATGATATACAAAGCGAAGAGCCTCAAATGGATTTCAAACTAGAAGATGTGGGTTCTGGAATTGTTGATACAGATGGTGGATTGGAGGAAGCATTCAAACTGTTAAAACTTGAACAAAGCCAGATCGAATAATCGGATGTAAATACAATCATACCCCTTCCAGGCTTTATACCATCAGTGAAATAGCCAAGGCCAAAAATAAACCGATCACAGTGCTACGCTGGCTATTGCATCGCATCGGGGCACCAGAAGCCAAAGGCGTGGAAGTAGTATTCCCCGAGACACTATGCCGAGGGTCCAGCTTCTTAGCGAACCGCATCTCATTCTTCCCAAAGTCAAACACAGCCACGACGTTCTTCAAAAATGGAACGCCAATAATGTTCAGTGTGACATCACCTAGGGAGACTTCTGTAGACGAAGCAAGATTAGACACGCAAACTCCCTCAGCGGTCTGATAGATCAGATCGGAACCATCGTGGTAGAATGTCTGGTCACCGAGCGACAGACCGAATTCCGGTGCTTTGGCCGAGCAATCAACAACATACAAACCGAGGTCAGAGTCATAAGTTGCCGGAGGCGAAAAGAGAGCGTTAATAGGCTCAACAACTGCAGGTGGAAGGTACGAGATATCGTTCCCAGAGTCGACGAATGCTTGAAACGAAGTTGTGTTTGTAGTCAGGTTATTCGAGGAGGAGCCGTAAGTGATATTGTTGACAGTGGTTGACCAGTAAGATCGGACACTTTTCCCCGATGTGTACCACAGCGGAATGTTCTCTGTGATCTCCACGGGAACTGTGGAGAAGTGGGAACTGTGGTTAACGGGTGGAAGACCACCGAGCGTTAAATACCCTCCAAAAGACGTAGATTGATTCTGCGGTGTGTGTGCTAGTGCAAGACTGAAGCATGGATCGATAAGGCCCTGCTCGTGCATCGTGAACAGCAATGGGTTGTAAACCAGACGATCGCGCCAATATGTGCTGTTGGATGTGTGGTTTGCTGGGTGTGCGGACGTGAGAGCTGGGTATCCTAGACCGAGTAACCCACTATTCACGTCATCACCCATGGGATTGGAGGCATTTGAGATGGCGATCTTCTGTGCGTTGACGGTTACACCGTTCATGGACACATGTTCGTAGGCCATGTGGCCGCTCGCGAGTCCTGCGCCGTATTGCACGCCGAACATTTCGTTGTCTACAGGGCGATATGTCTTGGACTTATGGTAAGTCTTGTTTGAGTAGAGGCAATCACTTTGTGGTATGACAAGGTTGTCGGTGTTGTTGACGCATTTGTATCCGGTTTGCATCACGTAGGTGTCACTGCTGCCGGTGTCCACGAGGAGCATGAAGCTCTGGTTCCCGATTGTGACTGGGGCATCAAATACAGTTCCATACTGTGTTGCTATGAGAGTAGATGTTGCACTTGAGGTTCGTCGGGTTGGTATGTTTCTGGACCCGGCAGGAACCAGTAGCCCAGCGGCGATAGTAAGGAGGTATGGGAGTAGCATGATGGTTGATCGTTGAGGAGTGTGATGATACCTCTAGAATCCTATACTTGTCCCGATATTTATACATAGATATCCAGAAATAGGCTGCCTTGTAGCACGAAGTTAGTTATTACAATTACTTAATAGAGCCGCTCGTACATTTTAGCGTATATATTAGCGTGTTTTCATCGTATATTTTAGTGCTTATATTTTAGCCCCCAATTTTATGTGGGTTGCCTGTTTAGCGTTAGAAACCAAATATAGACCACACAAACATATACTTTTCTAGGGTTTTCATTTCCTAATCGCCGGATATATAAGGAGGAAGAAATCTCTGGCATTCAATCTTGAGTAGACTATTTATACCGTAAATCCGAGAAACAAGTGCTCAGTTTGCAAGTAAACAACGGCAGGTGGGATCATCTCAACGCTATTTCTGAATGAATATTCCCTATGCTGCAATTCAGCTCGCAACTATATTACGCTTGCTATTATGCATTGGGCCATTCATATCGTCTCGATCCATCTCAGTGGAAGTTTACTTGGGATAACACGTTATCTGGCAAAGCGTGCACTTTGCCAATGTTAGGGCAATGATAGTATGTATATATTTTCCAAACTAAAGCTTTCGTAGACATTTGGCGTTGGATGAGGCCGAATTCCAAACACCCGTGTTATTCAGATAGGATAGATGAAGAACGGGTTCTCCATATCAGTCATATCCAGCATGGCAATTTCAACTTTTCTGCGTATCACATTCCCATTTTCATCAAGCTCCTCAACTACTCCAAATTCGTGAGCCCTTCTCTCTTCGCTGGTTAAGGATGCAGCCCAACTCTTCCGTTGATCGTTCCTGCGTTTCAATAAGAACCTTATAATGAAAAGGATGAATGGTGTCCCAGCCCAGCTGACCACTATCATGGAGATCCAGGCACCGTAGTAGCGAGGTGCATCCTTAGGAACCCAGATCTGTGGCGAGCAAATGTTTGCAATGGAATAACCAACCATGAACATTACATTTCGGGTCAATTTCTTCGTGTAGCCGGCCGCAGACGATGTAGTCCAGCCTAATGCGATAATGTAGGTATTACCATATGTGTGACCAGCTAGCAGTAGACAAGCAAGCATTCCTAGCTTCTGGTCCCAATCGATAGCAACCATGCCAATTCCACCTGCAATCGCGGGGACACACCAGAAGAGTCCGTGGAGTGCAAGATTTGAAGGCCACCACCGTAGGGCATAGGCTCCTGTAATACAAACTAGGACACCAAAACCGCCGCCTGCTGCAGCCACAAGAGTTGAGCCCAGACTGTCCACTCCAAGGGCCTTAGTGATAAGGTTTTGTTGTCCGTAGGTGAGGTTATTAGACATCATGAGGGTGAAGGACTGCAAAGTAAATAGCCATGAAACGGGGTCGCGCAGCGTCTCTATAAACTGGCTCTTCTTAAACTGCTTCTGTTCAATGGAGCTTTGACTTGATTCGTGTACTCGTCTGATGGTGTGAATTTTCTCCTCCAGTGATAGGAACTTAGCCTCGGCTGGGTTGCTCGGATACTGGAACCAAACAAGAACAGAAAGAAGTACCGAGACAGATCCAGTAATAATCATAAACAGTTTCCAGGGTAGAATGGCACTATGGCTCCAAAGCAAGCCGTAGGAGATAAATGCGGCACATATAGGAGCGGCTGCCGACGTCAACCAAAGCCAGGGCTGGAGGAACGACTGTTCGTAACGATTAAAGAACATCCCGATTGTGACTTCCATCGCGGGTACAACGACAGATTCAGCAGCACCGAGCGCCAGCCGTAGAACCACAAGCGCGCCATATGTGGTGGCAACGCAGTGAAGAAGTAGGATGACACCCCACATGAAGACAAGAGCGGCGACAAATTTTCCAAAAGGTAGTTTTTGCATAGCATAATGTCCCGGCCATTGTGCAATAATGTAACCTAATGGGGTATTAGGGAACGTATATTCGAAGCAACAAGACTGTCACGTACCGACGTAGAAGAAAGTTCCTAGATTGTTGTATTGGGCCTTAGTGATGCCGGTCTCTTCGAACAGGCCGAGAATAGCGGCATATCCCAGAGTGGATTTGTCAATCTACAGAAGTTAGAAATTGTAAATAAAAGGTAAAATAATGAGCTCACAAAGAGCAGTAGGTTTATGGCGGAGAGGAGCCCAAAAATACGCCAGTACAATTTGTGTCTGAGCTTTTTCTCCTTCTCAGTCGTCAATGGACCAACAGAGTCTCCATGAAGCTCAAGAATGCGGAGAGTTTCATCGGCATATTTTGTCTCGATAGATTTCTCGTTCTTAGGTGGCAGAGTCTCCTTGGCCGTAGGCTCAACCTTGAAGGCCAAATCCATACCTCTGTATAGCTTGTTTCTTAGCGGCGATCGAAAGAGGCATGCACGGTCGATGCAGGTCTTTGAATGAGTAAAACAAAGCACTTGCAACGGAACAATAAATGAGCTTAGTGAGTTATTTTATCGCTTTGGCGTACTCAGAAATTTCATCACGCCATAATTTGGATAAAAAACGTATCCCTCACTTTCTTGGCACTAGAAATGCGGCTGATTAACTATCATTGAGAGGACTCCAAATCACACACGAGTCGCCAATTATGCTCGTTAACTCATTATCACCTGCAATAGCCACGGTTAAGGGGCATGTGAAGCAAGGAGAGGACAAGAATGAGTAAGGTCAATTGTGTATTTGTTGCCTCAGGCACCAAACTCTAAGTGGCCCGTGTGGGGTCGGGAATCCCCCGGCCCGGCTCCCGTTGTCCGTTGTCCGTTGTCCACCTTTGGAGTCTTTATCATTTCGAGTGTCAACATTGGAAACCTGAGACTTCGAAGTCTGTTCCAGATTAATTTCAGCTTTCTTGGTAGCTGAGATCGTTCAACTCCACGCTTAGTCATCCCTGCGAGGGACCTCAGGAAGTGCCTCAGGGTCCAGCGATCTTTTCTAGGGATTCCTACACAGATGATCTCCATGGAGAGAGGAGAGAACCGTGTATAATTCCTAGAAAGTGAAGTGGAGACAGAGAGGTGGGAGGGGATGTAACTGACTACAACATACTCCGCACCGGTTGTCCCATGGGCTCCTAGCTCCGTATGGGGCCCGCGGCACCCGAACATCCCTTTAAGACCTCGCTCACACTCATCTCAATAACACATGGCGTGATAAACAGCAAAACAAGCCCCCACGTTCTCCGATAACACCATCACTGCGCGAAATTGCATGGCTGTAGCCAACACAACTTGACGCATCTACCACTGCCACCATCTTCAGCCACGCTTCTTGCTTTCGCCATTTAGCTAGCTATTACGTGCCAGATCGACATTCGCCCGAACAAATGGTACAACCAAGCATTTGGGGTTGTTGTATCCTGCCATGCAAATCTTACCGGGGTAAACCTCCCATCGATACGGAGTACAGATATACTTACAGGGATCTCTAATTGAACACAATTGTTGTGCTATACTTGGCCGCCAGATTCACTGATATGAAACATTCGACTTCGGTAGATATTCGGTAGATTCAAATCATCGCGCGATAATTTCCCCACTTGTAGTGCACAAAAGCTATATACTAGGTGCTTTTGACAAGGATATTATACACAGACTAGGACACCGGATGACGAATTATCCTTGGGTTTCTGCTTAACATGACGCCTTCCCCCTCAAGACCAGAATGCGAATGGTTGGTCTCCCAGTCGGCCCACTGCTTTGGTTGTAACATTCGACCCTCCGATGTTGAAATCGTTTTGCTCCACAAACAAAACGTTTCCTGCATGCCCACTGAAATCGTGAGCATGGTATTGGACAAGAGATCCGGAAGTAAGATAACAAAAGAAAGACAGTTCGGTGCCATGATATATAGATGGCCGATGCGGCGCCGTTTTTGTTTTCTTTCTCTAGCATATATACCACCATATGAAGCGACGGGAGCATTGGCACTCGCCACTTTGCATTGTTTGATTCGTTATTTCGGGAAGAACCTTGTCAAATCTATTTTGTTTTAATAGCTCTTGACAATTGCCAGAAATGGCTTGGCGGCGATCTTCAAACAAGACCCCTGCTGCGCTCAGCACTGCGGTCGAAGGCCAGACGGGGGAGGTCACAACTGTTGGCGGGAAGTATATTGGCGAGACCGGAGGCAATAATGCGACAACGACGTACCAAGACGCATCTGGCGCTCCAGTTGAGCACCACTCGCCGTTGGGATACTCTGTTGGTCCCGTCACAATTACCTTGCTGAACATCACAATGATGATCGGCGCTGGTATCTACTCCACACGTTAGTGCTACACAACCCATGCATATGCAGAAATGCCAGCTAATACGACAAAGCATCATCTATCCTGTCCGGTACGGGCTCGGTTGGTGTCACTCTTGTTTATTGGACACTCGGTTACTTGGTATGTCTTTCTCATGATCGGGAAGTAGCATCGACTAATCATGCTTACTCTGTCCTAGATTTGCCTCACATCTGGAGCTGTGTACCTTGAGTTTACGGCATACTTTCCCAGTCGATCAGGTTCAGAAGTCGTTTTCCTCGAACAAGCTTACCCTAATCCAAAGTGGCTCTTTCCAACCACCTTTGCGTTCCAGAGTGTCATTCTTTCTTTTGGAGCTGCTAATGCTACAGGTGGGTGGCTGATTGCTTTTTTTTATTTGTCGCAGAACATTAATTAATAAACCATAACAGTTATGGCCAACTATCTCATCGCCATCTCCGGGCACTCGGGCACCGACTGGCAGATTAAAGGGACTGCCGTAGCATGCTACACTATGGCTACCTTGGGTAAGTTACCCTCAGTGCATCATTTCGTTCGGAATTTAGGTACTAACAACCTATAGTACTGGTGTTCAACACGAAATACGCATATTGGTTCTCAAATGCTGTCGGAATTGTGAAGATTTGCACCCTTCTCTTTGTTATCGTCACTGGGTTTGTTGTTTTGGGTGGCAACACTAAAGTTGAGAACCCTAAAGCCAATTTCCAAGACGCGTGGTCAGGGAGCTCTACAGCTTCTGCATACGGGCTTACTACTGCCCTATACCGTATCACTTTCTCCTACGGAGGTTACAATAACGCTTTCAATGTTGCCAACGAGGTCAAGGTATGGCATTTCAAGGTTGATGTGGCACCGAGCTGAAACTAACATTTCCGTTGACAGAACCCCGTCAGGTCACTCAAAATCTATGCTACCACTGCTCTCACGGTGGTTTATGTGTTATACATGTTCGCAAACGTTGCATTCTTTGCTGCTGGTAAGTCAAGGCAGCCAATCCTATGCTAGGATCATCACACTAATTGCATATGTTTTCACAGTTCCCAAGGATGAGATCGCAAGCTCTAAGCTGACGATTGCAAGTCTGTTCTTTAGAAAGGTCTTTGGCGATAGCGGTGCAGTTCGCGGCCTCAACTTCCTCATTGCTTTGGCTTCATTCGGTAACATGATCGCTGTGATAATTGGCATATCTCGGCGCATCAGAGAATGTGGCCGACAAGGAGTTCTACCTTGGACGACTTTCTGGGTTTCGACGAAGCCCTTCGGCACACCCTTAGGCCCGTACCTCGTCATTTGGGGTCTGACCATGTTGATGATCTTAGCCATCCCTGCCGGAGACGCCTTCACTTTCAGTACGTTTTCTCTTCTTTTTCTCAGTTACAAGCTGGCCTTACGTTCTTGCAATGCTAATACTCAACAGTCAACGATTTAAGCACCATCCCCTCCGCTGCCTTTAATCTTGCGATGGGTGTTGGTATCTACGTTGTTCGCTGGCGCCGAAAGAACGCCAACCTTCCCGAACCCGAATTTAAGGCCTGGCATTTCGTGATTATCTTTAATATTCTCATCCAGCTTTACCTCCTTGTGATGCCCTGGTATCCTCCCAGTGGTGGCCAGTATGCTGGCGATGTCAGCTTTTGGTATGCAACATATGCCGTGACGGGAGTTGCAATGTAAGTCAACCAAACTTGGCATACTAGTCTATTCTTACTAACGACAATGCCTAGTCTTCTTGCCTGTGGCATCTATTACTATTTCTGGGCCTTCCTTATTCCCAAATGGAAGGGCTACAAACTTCGACAGGAACTTCTGAGCCTAGATGACGGTGTTCAGAGCAACCGGCTTAAAAAGGTCCCTGTCGCCGAGATCCAAGAATGGGATGCGACACATGATGCGGCTGGCCGTCTCATTGAGTCGCCGGTTGAGATTCAGGTTCAGGTAAAAGGCATCGATGTGTGATCTGGAGCTGCTAGATTGTGCCGGTTGGTTCTGCCTCTTGGCTTGTTGAGTTATTTGTCTAATACATAGGATTCAGCGGAGAGGGAGACATGTAAATATTTGATCCTCTTGTGTAATTATTTTCCTCATTTCTTTTCCTCCTGTCTTTCTGATAGACTGAGCCTTGTCAATGGTCGATGTAGTAGTGTGGGTAATGAGCAAGAACGGGTCGAATGTCTAGTAGGTAAAGACATTCCCGAAACGAAACGGGTTGTACTAAAATTTCTAGAGATGAACCCAACCAAGCGCCAATACTTAAAACTAAAATAACAATACATCCATGAATAAATCCACGGATTCCAAGGTTACCTACTATTAGACCCCTTAATAAGCAACGTACACTGGTTCCGCTAGCCTGAGGCAGAAATGAAATAAAGCTTTTCATCCCATACACATGGAGATGCCTCCATTTGTATGAGAATCAAAAGCTTCATATTTATAGGCTAACGGCGCCTAGTTAATCCATGCCGATTTGGTTACGGTACGGAGTACGGGGTAGTTACACTGTATAGAGAGGCCTGAAGGCGGTCTAAAACAAGGCTTAATTCAGGCATAAAATTTAGGCATCTAGCATTGAGCGCTACTAGTATACACGGTCGTACCTCCTCCCGCTCTTGTTTTCCGGAAGGAAAACCCCCATACCTTAACACTTCAAAGGCAATCAATGAATCAAAACGCGTAGTTTACATCAAAGTCAAGAAGAGCCATTAATTAACGGTGGATTATCTCGGAGAAAATTTGAAATTTATGTAATAATAAAATAGATATTTTGTGACATGGCAGTTTTATACTCGATATATTTCTATTCTGCACTAGATAACATATTATTGACGACCTCTGTTACTCTCGCCCACCACAGCATTAAAAGGTTTTAAACATAGCTAAGACGCACTCTAATACTCGGGTCCCATATGGTCGAATCAGGTTTCCCAACATTTTGTTACAGTTATACATGAATATCCCATTGTACTCACATTGCAACCTACAACCTACAGAAGGTTGTAAATACCAGCAATGTTATGCAGCTTGGCGTGGCCTAATGGCCTAATTAGGTTAATTATGCATAATATCCTTTCACGAGTATGTGCGTAAATACTGAGGTTGTGTGGGATAAGATTGAAATTTGGAAGGAGGATAAGAGACCAGAGTTATTCAGTATCTGCAATTTGCATTAGGTATCATTGATGGGGTATAAACATAAATTGAGAGGAGTGTGTAAATCAACCGAGCTATGCACCGTGTTTTTCTTCAACTTGCGAGCCAAGGGTAATCCCATTGCTGGGCACGTGAAAACAAGTCATCCTTGGCAAAAAACCCAATATTCGCAGGCACGACCACATCGTGTCGAATTCAAGTAGAAACCTATCCTCTCAAGAGGAACAGATGGATGAGCCCTGTGATCAACCCCGACATAGCTGTGTAGCCTCCCTAACTGCAGCCTCCGCCAGAGAGCGATACTCGGAACAATCTTTCAAAAGCCCATCGATTCCTTCACTGGGTGTATCACGGACCAATGATGACACAAATGTTTCCACCTGCATGATAAGCCCGATGTGATATATGCGCGAGGTGTCTCGTGGATCCTGGACGATGGTCGAGGAGAGTGTTTTCGATGCGATAATAGGGTAGTAGATCAGGATCCTAACGTATGTTAACCACAGAACCAGGAAGCAATAAGACAAGACGTGTTTGGTTCTTAATAAGAGTCATCACATACCCTATGAGGGGGATATTAGATTGCGGCATATATTTGAGCAAGTTAATCGACGCCGTTGCAGCGTTTATGCAGAGTGATTTCGACAGGAATACCGTTGGATGTGGTAGGTTGTAAACGCTGTTTCTTTCAATTAGATCCCTACCTAGCATTGGACCCCGGACTGCAGCGACTCGATGGATAGCTATCAGACAGTTGAAGTATGATAAATGCAGAAAAAGAAGGCTCACAGCCATCGGGGATTTTGGAAAAGCGGAAAGTCTTCGTGATTCAGGTTGGAACTCGACGGGAATGCTATTCTTCCACTGTTCGAGCTTTTGGTTCAACATCTCAACCGCAGCGGCTACTTCAACAAGCGGACGATCTGCTGCTCTGACCGAGTAGAGGTGTTTGTATACTTGGCCCTTGATTAATCCCAGTTCACACATTGATCTGAATGCGTTGAAGGTCTCTCGTTGGTTTGTTGTTGACAGGGTTCCTATGTTATCCAGTGGAACTTCCATTGGTAATAAGACATCCATATCATCGTCGCTTTGCGCTAGTGGAGTACCGACCCGAAGAGATATCCTATGGCATGTCAGCATAGGTCTTAGATGTCGATAGTATCGAGTTTCCTACTCTTTGTCAAGGCAGTATGCAATCCAAAAGATGCGCCTGCGTTGTTCTAGTTCTTCAGGACACAATGCCGACCCATTTTCGCTTCGTTCGAGTCGAATCACATGGCATATTCGCATAACAGAGGAAATCAAATACCGGCAAGGCTGGCTGCTTAATGTACCCATCAGAAAGAGGATCTGTAGATCGAGTAGTGTTAGTCACATCTTCTCTCAATGCAGTTGTTCATCTTACCATCCCTATGAGTGCCTGGACGGTCCATACATCTGGTAACCCAAAGCAGAGGTCGTTCAAAACCCCCAAGGCGTTCTTCATGAACAACCAGCTCTTCTGGCGGCCAGCCTGTACAGTAGAGGTATTCTTTATGCGCACCATATGCCCTATCGCTAAGACAACATTAAGACTGGCCCAACGACTGGGGAAATTTAACAGGCCCTGTAATTTTTTTTCCTCACAAAGCGACAACAGCGATGACGGTTGAAATATGGGACACAGCAAGTTGAACTGCTCCAAGTAGTCATTGACCAACGATATGATCTCATCTTTCGGGGGTAATGGGGAGAAAGCTTTGTCGGGAAATAAACCCTCAAGCGGGTCTCGATTCGATCCCTGGTGGAGACTCAATGAAAGGAAGGATTGTAAATTGCCAACAGACGCGCCTTCCATTTTATGAGCTATCCATTTCGTTCCTTCTGAGGATAGAGTCGAGAAGCCTATACGTATCAATCAGCTTTATAATCTAGGAGACCGGCTGTAGTTCTCACCGGCGTTCGGTGTATCTGTAAAACACCTTGGAACGTAGAAGCAAGGCAGATCCGTCGGTATTGATGGGTCGACTTCATCGGAGGTTGAGTCGACTAGGGTGTGATATAGATTCTGCGTATTAGCAGCGAGGTCTTGTTCAGCGTCTAGGTGTATTGGCTCTGAGTTCCAAACACCCGCATCTGTTATGAAATCTGCATTTTCAGCTGGACTCGACGATGATGATTCATCTGACTGCCGAAGCCCGTCGAAAAAGGATGACCCGTTCACATCTTCACCCAAGTCAAATCCTATTTTTTGAAAATGAGCTTCCATGCGTTGGATGTTTGTCTCCAGGCGATCGACCATGTTCTGGCTGCACGATTGTTATTAATTACTGACACATTATGATATCGGCTATGATGTCGTACTTCCTCAACTGTCTTTGCCGCCTATAATCAACCAAAGAACAAGGAATGTTGGCTTTGCTGCAGAACGAGCATTTGGACTTGGTGGTGACCTCGCATTTTATTTTTCTGTGTCGACAAGTGTCGCATGCCTAATGAGATTATTAGTATATGATATGATTTAAATTGTCTGTGGAGTCCGAGTCCGACTTTTCTCTTTCGCTGTCTTTTTCTCGTATGTCCGTTTTCTGGCCTTGACAATTGAGATATATGTTGGCGTAACGTAGAGTCGCCCCGGGCTTGATTATTAAACACCTCATTCATCTTGGATGATCAGGAGTCACAATAATGAGATATAGGAGATTTTCCCGAGATTGAAGCCAAGAGATCTTTGAAACCCTGTGTATTCAAAAGACAAAACATCCACAGTATGCCGAAAGGGAGATGCTCCGTCCGAAGTACCAGCAGGGGAAAAAAAAGGTGCATAAGATGGCAAGTTACAAGTTTGTGCAAATCAGAGGTGGAATGTGTTCCCCCAGGTAAGTGGGGTTGTCGGGACGGGAGTGATCTAAGTCAATTCGGGATCGCTTGGCTCCGATACTCCGATAGTAGGGTCCTTATTAGTACCATAGTACTGCCATGTACCATGTATGTATTCCGGTCAAATATGACTCAAGATTACATATACCCATGGATGCCCTTTGGAAACCACTTTAGATAAGACAACGTGTCTTGGGTAGAGCCTGACCAATGATTATTTTCCATCCTTGATGTGTACCCTCTAAGGCTGTTTATATGTAGTCTTGGCAGTCTTGGCACACATTTAAAGTGCATCGGATACCGGATGTTCTTTAATCGGTAAATATGGCGTATTGACCTGTATTGATATCACATGCTAAGGCCCGGGCCCTAACCCGATGGGACACTTTCAAGTTTTTCAACTGGCCCATCTAGACCTCTAAGACTGTTCTCGTTTGGGAAAAGAAAACTGGGGTATTATACCCAGTAAATATGCCCCATTTCGGGTTCCGGAAGTAGCAGAGCAAACCCTAATTCCTGGCCATCGGAGTTAATTATCCACCCTATATCGGCACTCCGGAGGTTCTTATATCACAGCTATTCAGCTATTCAGCTATTCACAGAATGTGATTACCCCTAACCTAGCCGGATCCGCCGGAATCTTAATCGGATTTTTTTGTTTCTTGTTTGCGGATATTTATTTTTGGATTTATAGATAAACTTATATATGTCGAGTTCCCGGACTGTTGGTGCTTTGCTGTTATCGACTAGCCTCCTTTCAATCTAATATTTAAGTTTTCTTTTTGATATTTGATCCTGTTCCTTTCTACGCGAGCACCCAGGGTTTGATAGGTTGATACTGAAACCAAGATGTCGCTCTTGGGGACACTCAACCCGAATCCTGCTCGCTCCCAGTCCGTGGTCAGTCACAACACCACGCAAGGCCCGAGCGAGCATGAACTCGACATGATCCACGATCCAGAAAAGAATGACGACGAAGACACCGAGCAGGAGGATGAAAAACATAGAGAGGCGCTGGTTAGTCGGCTAGCACGACAACTCACCCGGCAATCTACTCGAGTCTCCGTGAGCGGTGCATTGGACAATCCTTTCACTAATGGAGACTCTGAATCTTCGCTCAATCCCAATAGCCCCAACTTCAAAGTGCGGGACTGGATGAAGATGTTGCTAGCGATCCGGTCTCGAAATCCCGAAAAGTACCCAGATCGGACCGCTGGTATTGCGTTCAAGAATTTGAACGTCCATGGATTTGGTTCTCCTACTGATTATCAGAAAGACGTCCTGAACTCAGTACTGGAGCTTAGCACTATGGTTCGCCGACTGGCTGGTCTGAAACTCCAGAAAATTCAGATTCTTCGTGACTTTGATGGTCTCGTCAAAAGCGGAGAAACATTGGTGGTCTTGGGAAAACCAGGTAGTGGTTGCTCAACTTTGCTCAAAACCATTGCCGGTGAAATGAATGGTATTGAGATGTCAGAGGATTCGGTTCTCAACTATCAGGGTAAGTCTCTCGCTACTCCATTCCATCTCACTTCGGTTGTTGGAGAGGGTCTGACACAGAACTAATACATCCAGGTATCTCTGCAAAGGACATGCAAAATGCCTTCAAAGGCGAGGCAATCTACGCAGCAGAGACTGATGTCCACTTCCCCCAACTCTCCGTCGGCGATACCCTCATGTTCGCAGCATTGGCTAGAGCCCCCGAAATCGCCTTGAGGGGGTAAGCAACGAGCAATACGCCAAGCATATGAGAGATGTGGTTATGGCTATGCTTGGCCTTTCCCATACGATCAACACCCAGGTTGGCAATGACTTCATTCGCGGAGTTAGTGGTGGTGAGAGGAAACGCGTTAGTATTGCGGAGGCCACTCTCAGTCAGAGTCCCCTGCAGTGCTGGGACAACAGCACGAGAGGCCTGGATAGCGCCAATGCACTTGAATTCTGCAAAAACCTGGCTCTCATGAGCAAATATTCTGGAACAACAGCTTGTGTCGCCATCTACCAAGCGTCACAGAGTGCTTACGATGTCTTTGACAAAGTGACCGTGCTTTATGAAGGAAGGCAGATTTTCTTCGGGCTCACGACCGAGGCTAGGAAATACTTTGAAGAACTAGGCTATGAGTGCCCAGAGCGTCAAACCACGGCAGACTTCTTAACATCGATCACTAGCCCTTCGGAACGTGTGGTTCGGAAAGGGTTTGAAGGCCGTGTTCCTATCACCCCCGATGACTTTGCGGCATCATGGAAGAGAAGCGCTGCCCGTGCTAAGCTTGTTGGTGAAATCGAGGAGTATGAGAGAAATTACCCCATCAAAGGTAGCTCCTACGATGCATTTATAGATGCACGCAGGGCCATTCAGGACAAGCACCAGAGGGTCAAATCGCCATACACAATCTCGATATGGAAACAGATTTCCCTCTGTGTGACTCGAGGCTTCCAACGCCTTCGTGGAGACTATAGCTTAACAGCTTCGGCTCTAATTGGAAACTTTATCATGTCTTTGATCATTGGTTCTGTCTTTGTGAACCTTCCTAAGGATACCTCCAGCTTCTACTCTCGGGGAGCTCTTTTGTTCTTTGCTGTCCTCTTGAATGCTTTCTCCAGTGCACTGGAAATCCTTACCCTCTACGCCCAGCGACCAATTGTTGAAAAGCAAGCCCGATACGCCTTCTACCACCCTTTTGCAGAGGCGCTTGCATCCATGCTTTGTGATACACCCTACAAAGTAGTCAACTCACTCACCTTCAACATACCATTGTACTTTATGACCGACCTACGTCGTGAGGCTGGTCCTTTCTTTACCTTTTGGATATTCTCGCTCCTAACAACCTTCACAATGTCAATGATTTTCAGAACCATTGCGGCAACTTCCCGCTCACTTTCACAGGCCTTGGTCCCGGCAGCCATTTTGATCTTGGGTATGGTGATCTATACTGGATTCGTCATCCCTACTCGGAATATGCTTGGGTGGTCTCGCTGGATGAACTATATCAACCCTGTTGCCTACGCATTTGAAAGCTTTATGGTCAATGAATTCCAAGGTCGTCATTTCCCGTGTGCTGCTATTATTCCTGCTGGCGGAGCATACAGTAGTATCTCGATGGATCATCGCATTTGCTCAACTGTCGGTGCTCAGTCAGGTTCCTCCAATGTGTCTGGATCGTTGTACCTCGAACAGAGCTTCAAGTATACTAAGGGACATTTGTGGAGGAACTTTGGAATTCTCATTGCTTTCATGTTATTCTTCATGTTTACCTATCTTATTGGCACTGAGTACATCTCCGAGAAGAAGTCTAAAGGCGAGGTGCTTCTGTTCCGCCGTGGTCATCAGCCAAAACTTGCTTCCGGAGAGGGTGACGTCGAGACATCTTCCCAACCCTCTGCAGTCGCCAAGACAGACGAGTCTCCTCACCAAACAACCGCAATTCAACGACAAACTGCGATATTCCACTGGCAGGATGTGTGCTATGACATCAAGATCAAAGGCGAACCCAGAAGGATCTTGGATCATGTTGATGGCTGGGTGAAACCAGGCACCTGTACCGCATTGATGGGTGTCTCCGGAGCGGGAAAAACGACTTTGCTTGACGTGCTCGCAACACGAGTAACTATGGGTGTCGTCACTGGTGAAATGCTCGTTGACGGACACCCCAGGGATCAGTCCTTCCAGCGGAAAACTGGGTATGTCCAACAGCAAGACTTGCACTTGTCCACCTCCACAGTTCGGGAAGCTCTAGAGTTTAGCGCCCTCCTACGTCAACCTGCCACGGTCAGTCGACAAGAAAAGATAGCCTATGCCGACGAGGTCATCAAGCTCCTTGGCATGGAGGCGTACGCTGACGCCGTTGTTGGCGTTCCGGGTGAGGGGTTGAACGTTGAACAACGCAAGAGATTAACGATCGGTGTTGAACTTGCTGCGAAGCCCCAACTCCTACTCTTCCTTGATGAACCTACCAGCGGCCTCGATTCCCAGACTTCTTGGTCCATTCTCAACCTCATCGACACGCTCACTAAGCACGGACAAGCCATTCTCTGTACTATCCATCAACCTTCAGCCATGCTGTTCCAGCGATTCGACCGTCTTCTCTTCTTGGCTAAGGGAGGCAGAACGATCTACTTTGGTGAAATTGGCGAAAATTCATCCACTTTATCGAACTATTTCGAACGCAATGGCGCCCACCATCTCACACCCGGAGAAAATCCCGCTGAATGGATGTTGGACGTTATTGGTGCAGCCCCGGGTACACACAGCGAGATTGAGTGGCCAAAGGTGTGGCGTGAGAGTCCCGAATATGGGAAGGTCAAGGAGCACCTCTCCGAGCTGAAGGCCACTCTATCTTCGACAGCAGACGTTGATACTTCGCCTAACGCATTCCGTGAATTCGCCGCACCTTTCCATGTCCAACTGTGGGAGTGTCTCCTACGTGTCTTTGCGCAGTACTTCCGCACCCCGAGTTATATCTGGTCGAAAGCTGCCCTTTGCATCTTCACCGCACTCTATATTGGATTCTCATTTTTCCACGCCCAGAATTCCATCCAAGGCCTTCAGAACCAGATGTTCAGTGTTTTCATGTTGATGACAATCTTTGGAAATCTGGTCCAGCAGATCATGCCAAATTTTGTTACCCAACGCTCTCTTTACGAGGTGCGGGAGCGCCCATCTAAGACATATAGTTGGCAGGCGTTTATGATCTCGAATATTCTGGTGGAATTGCCCTGGAACACACTGATGTCTGTGTTCATCTACTTTTGCTGGTATTATCCCATTGGATTGTACAGAAATGCAGAGCCCACCGATGCAGTGAGCGAACGAGGCGCCCTCATGTTCCTATTGATCTGGACATTCTTGTTATTCACCTCCACCTTCGCACACATGGTCATTGCGGGAATTGAGCTGGCCGAGACTGGTGGCAACATTGCGACATTATTGTTCTCTCTTTGCTTGATCTTCTGTGGTGTTCTCTCAACCAAGGAGGCTTTGCCCGGCTTTTGGATCTTCATGTACCGCGTTTCGCCGTTCACTTACTTGGTCTCAGCAATGCTTTCGACTGGTGTTTCGGGCGCTGATGCAGTGTGTGAGGCAGTCGAGTTCTTGAAGTTCACACCCCCAGCCAACCAAACTTGCGGGGACTATATGGACCCTTACATCAAGATGGCTGGGAGTGGATATCTGCAAGATCCCATGGCTACTGCCGAGTGTGCGTTCTGCTCAGTTAGCAAAACAAATACGTTCCTGTTGCAAATCGGTAGCGATTTCGCTGATGCTTGGCGCAACTTTGGTTTGATGTGGGTGTACATCGCGGCCAATATCTTCGGCGCGGTGTTTATCTACTGGCTTGCCCGTGTGCCAAAGGGGAAGATGACATCCGCCTAAGGGGGCTGTGGATAAACCCTCTGGTCCTTTAGCCTGAGTTTTTTGCACTGCGCAGCGTCGATAGATGTGTTTCCTTTCTCTTGATATCTTCTTCGCTTCCTTTGTTCCCTTTTCAGGATCGTCTTGATCCGCTCTTTCTTTTCTTTTCTCCTTTTTTCGATCTGTTTTCTTTTCTTTTCCTTTTCCACCGCTATCACTGGTTTGTCGGTGACATCGGACCACCATCTTTAATGGGTTCAGCAGATACACAGTTTGCTCCTGTCTCTCGCCTATGCCCTATCTTTCCTTTTTATATTGCATTTTATTATTAAATATTTAGAAATATAGACAGTTTCCCTATACACACGTATTATCTACGTAACAGAATCCTCTGTATTGATACACTCATCCCACGAAGCAATATACTAAATCAGTAAGTATAAAACAGAAGAACTCCCATGGCTCCTCTTGTATGCAAAGTACTCCAAGGCGGTGTGGGGAAGTCTTACAGTATAGATGTAACCGAGCCCCTCTCTGGTGAGATCACAAAAGTGTCAAGCATTTTCACTTCCAATAGTTCAGTAGTACATATCAGGGCCTGCATTACCTCCAGAAAGTCCGCTTTGGCAAACTCTGTCCGGTTGGTTCTTCCATCATGGGGGTAGCTACATTATCTGTTCAGGCTGTGATGCTTCTCGGCGGTCTATTGAGCCTTTATATCTTCAAGATTATCACCGGTTATGCTAGGTTGAGGCAGTTTCGGGGCCCTTCATGGACCGGTATCTCGAACTGGCCTCATAGCATAGCGATCCTTGGAGGCAATTGCCACGAGTGGTATGCAGAAGTCAACAATAAACATGGTGCGAGCCATCTTCCGGGCAACTCTACCAGGGCACCGTGTCCACTATAGCTAACATCTCGACTCGATACAGGTCCGATCGCCCGAGTTGCGCCTCGAGTGCTGATCACGTCCTCTCCCGAAGTTTGGATGCACGTAAACAACAAGCCTGGGTACAAGCGCTCTGATTGGTACTACAGAGCCACACGAATCGAGTATCGGAGGGACAATATTTTCAGTCAGACTGATAATGCGAAACACGAGAAACGGAGGAAGCAAATGGCTCCAGGGGTATGATAGCTGTCTCGTATTTTTCTCCTACTCTCTCCCACCCATTCATACTAGCATTGCTGACCGAAGATTGTTATAAAGTATTCGGGGAGGGAGAATACCCAGCTCGAGGGATCCGTGGATGAACGAGTCCAAGATTTCCTGAACCTCATCCGATCCAAATATATCTCGTCCGACCGCCAAGTTATACCTATGGACCTAGCAAAGAAGGTTCAATTTCTTTCACTCGACGTTATTAGTAGCATCGGCCTCGGCAAGGCGTTCGGTATGTTGCGAAGTGACCGTGACGTGGACAACTACCTCCAATCGAGTGAGGAGGGACTTGCTATCGGCAACACTTTCCTTGGCATGGGCTTCGCCTGGATCACCCAGATGCCTTTTATTGGTAGATTCATTGCACCTTCGGCCAAGGATAACAATGGCTTCGGTAAGATGATGGCCGTATGCTTCCGGCTTGTCGATGAGCGCGCTGCGAACTCCGCGGAAGAAAAATCCGATATGCTAGCCTCCTTCATGCGCCACGGCTTAGCAGGTGACGAGCTGCGGACCGAGGCACTAGAGCAAATCCTTGCGGGCTCTGAAACCACTGCTAGCGCCATCCGTGGCACCCTTCTGTACATCATGACGAATCCCCGCGTCTACTTCAAGCTCCAGCAAGAGGTCGACGATGCCGTTCATCGTGGCCTTGCCCCAAGCATGAGCGAAGGCCTTGTTACTGCTGCTCAGGCTAAAGGTCTTCCTTACCTCCAGGCCGTAATCCGCGAAGCTCTGCGACTCTGGCCACCTGTTGCAAACATCTTCTCGCGCGATGTCCCGGCAGGTGGCGACACTGTGGTCGTCGATGGGGAGAGCGTATTCCTGCCTGGTGGCGCCTGCGTCGGGTACTCGGCATACGCTATGCACCAGAGCGAGAAGATCTATGGCAACGACGCACATGTTTTCCGACCCGAGCGGTGGCTTGAGTCAGATTCTGTCAAGTTGGCTGCCATGGTTCGGACGAACGACCTCACATTTGGTCATGGTAAGTTCCAGTGTTTGGGAAAGGTAGTGGGCCAAATGGAGATCGGAAAGACGGTATTCGAGGTGAGTGGAAACAGATCCTCTTCTTTCTTCTGGATGACACGCTGACAGAATGCCGGCTTGGATACAGCTATTACGCAATTTCGACATGGCACTTATCAATCCGACGCACCCATGGAATGCGACAAACTACCTTGGGCTTTTCGCGATTTCAAATATGTGGGTGCAAGTGACGGAGCGAACGTCCTGTTCTCCTTGAACGGGGACAGAACTGTATAATATTTTGACGTGCATGTGCATTGCCATAAGAGTATTTCTCGGGTGTCATCAGTCGTATAAGTAAGCTGGTTCTTCAATGTATGACAACAATACAGACTACGCAAATTGTTTGCACCTGTGCATCCCCTCCTCTGGGCCACACCTGTTGGTTACCTAACATTATTCACATCCTTACCTAAACAGCCCAGTGGACCTCAGGACCTCAGTATCAAGATATCAATAGAAATGTAACAATTATACAAATCAAATTAACTCTGTGAATTCTGTTCAGCAGAAAATCGGACCTGTCTTCGATATCATCCTATAAATATCCCAGCAGCCGTGACGCGATTCCCTCATACAACGCCATCCGCTAACTCAAACGCAACATCGACATGAATTGGCGAAGGGCAAGAATGTCCAGAGATGGCAAAGAATTTACTCAATGTAGCATATTCCTGCTCTTTCAACTGGATAGCCGTTTTCTATAGATTGTAAAGTTTCTCCCCTTGATGGCAAATCGCATAACAGTGTCTCAATAATTCTTTGGCTGTTTTCCAATAAGAGGGTCTTCGTAGGTTGCCTTGCGCTTGAGGTATCACTCCAGCTTTCAGCTTGGGCTATGGAACGGGGTTGGACACAATGAATTAGTATACGTGTAGTGTAATATTGATCAGCTCTTAGCGCTATTCTTATATAATTCAAGCATTTATATTGCCTTTTAATTGACGTTCTGTCTTGTAAATGCTCAAATAAGTAGATATCTTATCTAGGTTATCTTCAGGACGATATTTGTATTAGGAAGAAATCATTCACTTAGCCCAAAAGGCCTTTTGAAGCGCATCACACATCAGAGTGATACACCTCTTGCCCTCAGATAGTGCCCCGTCCATAGCCAAAAACGGATGCGGCATGCCCTTCATGACCTGCAAATCAACAGCCACGCCAGCCTTCTGCAGCTTCTCCGCATACTGTTCACCCTCCGTACGAAGCACATCCAACTCGCCAACCATAATCAATGCAGGCGGCAATTTCGAGTAGTCACCCTGCCAGAAAAGCGGGCTTGACTCTGGGTTGGTGCGGTCTACGTCGTTGGGGACGTAGTGGTCGCGGTACCAGTACATTTTAAGTGCGGGGAGTGCGGGGGTCCGTTCGTACCGACGATATGACTCGTTGTTCTCTACTGTGGCAGTGTTGTCTGTCACGGGGACAGAGAGGAGCTGGGCTTGGAAGTGAACAGGCGGTGACAGAGTAAGCGCCTTGTGGGTCATAATTGCGGCAAGGTTTCCACCGGCGGAGGAGCCACCGGTTGCAAGTTTGGATACGTCCACTGAGAGTTCGGAGGGGCCATCGGCGATCAGCCAGAGGAGAGCCTCCCAGCAGTCATGAACTGCAGCTGGCCAGCGGTTTTCGGGTGCAAGCCTAGGGGAAAATAAGACAGATTAGATTGAAACTTCTGAAGGTTATGTATGTATGGCGTGATTAGGCAGTGGATTTAATTTGTCTTACCGGTAGTCAACTGTAATCACGACGCAGTTGCCTCGTACACAAAGATTCGAGCAAACCACGTTCTCCGTATCAATGTTACCCAGCACCCATCCACCACCGTGTAAATATAGCATCACTGGCCACCCACCAGGAGGTGCCTGCCCCTTGGGAGTAAAGCAGCGGATGGGCACTGCTGGGCCCTCGGTAGCTCGCCGCTGAACGATAATGTCTTGAGTCTTGCCCACCTCCAACATGGGACCTGCACCAGGAATCAAGATACCACTTGTCCGTGAAGCTTCCACGGGCTGGAGGTGCACCTGCTGATTATTGATGACATTCTCGTTATAAAATGCGACATACTCCGGGTCCAACAAATCTTTAACGGACTCGTGGAGCGGATACGGGGGTTGAGTGATTCCGGCAGTCATTTTCAAGTTTCGGAGAAAAGAAAAACAGAAATATCACAAAAACTTTCCGGGCCTTAAGGTCTACTTCTATTCAAATACACACCCACGCAGGCAGTGGGGCAGGCAATGCGGGGAATGCCGCCGATAAGATGATAAGCTTACTTTTGTGCCTCTTTGGGCGATGATCGACGGGACTGTTACAGTGGCCCAGTGACACCGTCGTCTCCATTATTGACTCCTATCCACCGCGCCCTTCGTAAAGCCCCTCATGAGCCACTTCATATTTCTCGGCTCTGTGTCTCTGTGTGTTATCGGACAAAATGGGGCCACTTGTTAAGTTTTAATCTCGGCTAAAATCGGATGCAGATGTAGCTCCGGTTGATAAAGAGCGCGTTCCCTACGCAAGGGGGGCAACTTACTGTTGCTTTTCCATCAATTCCTCTCAATTGACTCGCCCCTCGCTCATATTCCACCCACCACTTACGAACTCTCACAATGTCCACCAAGACTGCCGTCCTTACCGACAAGGCCCCCAAGCCCCTCCCCGGTATCTACTCCCAGGCCATCATCGCCAATGGTGTCGTCTACTGCTCCGGCGCTGTCGCCATGGACGCTACCACTGGCAAACTAATTGATGGTGATGTTAAGGCCCACACTGTAAGAGACCAATAAACACCAATTGACCTGATTCGAGCTACTGACACCCCCCACCCTCCAACAGCACCAATGCATCAAGAATCTAACCCACGTGCTCGAGGAGGCCGGTACCGATATCAATAAGGTTGTCAAGGTCAATGTGTTCCTATCCAACATGGATGATTTCGCCGAGATGAACTCCGTCTACATGCAATACTGGGGTGATGTAAAGCCTTGCCGGACGTAAGTTATTACCCCGCTCCTTGTTTTCTTATCGTTGGGGTCATTTGGAGTCATGCTTCGCCCCTCCATGTGTTTTGGGCTGCGCGGCGGTGTGATGCTTGCAATTACATATGCATCTGTGTGACTCTGCATATGTGATTTGATTCGTTACTAACGTATATGCTCTACAGATGTGTTGCGGTCAAGACGCTCCCCCTTAATACTGATGTCGAGATTGAGTGCATTGCAGTGCTGTAAATAACCTTTTACTTTCTTCAAATCTATAGACAAAATTTAACAATGATGATATGACTTCTACTGCAAACCCACCTTTTAGTAAGAGAGAAGGCCTGTCACATATTGATACCTTAGGTATAATTATATGATATTTTAATATATCATGCCATTATTGCTATGAAACATTGTTTCTCTACCTGACAACCAGTAAATACTATATAGGTAGGGCTGCCTGCACATGTGAGCAGGCATTCCCCCGGCTTTTACTAGACTCCAGCTATTTGCCTACTTCTTCTTTTTAATCTTCAACCAGGTACCAAATTATAGCACAAAGAAGGGGCGGCTGTTAGGTATACTATAGCATTCTGTATTTCTCAAATAGGTTCCTTCAAACAAACATGGACAATGATCCAACCCTTGACTTGGTTTCGCGATAAAAGAATATATGTGAAGCTTAAGACCAATCCTCTAGATCAAAGAAGTATTTGCCCCACCAACGGAAGTGGTGCTAGAGCCCAGTCTATGTAGTCTCCTCTAACTCATCCCGACTAAGCCTAAGGGATAAAGTAGCAATGTACTCATCCATTCTCTCCGCCTTATTTGTTGTTGTAATAGACACAATATTCTGGTCAATTACCCAACTAAGAACAACTGTGCTCGTTGAGGTGTTGTGTCTGGCGGGCGATAGATGAGAGGGGCAAATCTAGAGGGCCGTCTTTACCAACAGTGATTGGTGCAAGAGTCTTGAACGACGGGACCTCGATGTCATGCTGACGCTTCTGAGGTACGTAATCGTGAGCGTGGTGCAAATAAGGGTGGTATTCTAATGGTTAATCACTGGAACTACTGAGCACACCTCCAACACGGCCTCAAGGTGGCTGCGATGGAAGTTGGATACACCAATATCCCGGGCCTTTCCTTCGGCATGAACAGTTTCTAGTCTCTTCCAACCGGTCTGAATGTCCGCAGTTATGGGAAAAACGTATGGGTTGTGTAAAAGATACATGTTTGCTACCGATCAGCCCTTGGAAGCATTAGGAAGGATCATAGATCAGGGATTCATACATGTCAACATAGTCAACTTGTAACCGTTTGAAGCCACCATCCAACGCCACTGGAACATCTTTCCATCCTTCAAGGACCTTGGTGGTAATGAAGAGCTTGTCTCTCGGAATACCACTTTCTTTGATAGCAATTGCAACTTCTCTTTCAGCTTCATACGAATTTGCAGCATCGATATAAATGAACCCCTTTTCAAGGGCAGTTTGAAGCAACTCGATAATTTGGATCATCTTTATACCACGTAGTCTCGGTTCCAAATCCCAACATTGGTGTCAAACTAGACCACACGGATAAAGGGATGATTTCTTACCACAAGAATCAATTTTCCGTTTTTGGGCGAGAGAATCGGCCAACTCATGGTGGATCGTAGGTGTTGGTATCAAGAACGGTGGGGCAGAAGGAGGGTGGACAGACATACGGGAAGAGATGGACAGCCTTAAGTGATCGAATACCCAAGAAACAGTTCGAAACAAATAGGCGTCCTGATTTTAAGACGAACATATGAGGCTGAATAAGGGGGAAAGAGAACTTAGGTTGAGAGTCGTGTAATGGCTTGGGGCCTAAGATGGACGCGAAGGTCACAGAGAAAGCTTCCCCGCCTGGGCGAAAAGGTGAACCTTTGATGTGATGTGTTAGGCATCCCACTAGCGGTTGGCATTATATCTGGAGGTAAGATATTTTATCATCTGGATATCTTATTACATCAACAATCCCTTCGCCATCGCCGGTGGAGCCCTAATTCCAACAATATCAGTTTCCAAGTAAAATACCGCGCTATCTAGATCTAAGTGCTTAATCTCTGCCATGTTGATAGGTCAATTGTCTAAATAGACCTCGGGAATATTTTAATACTGCCTCAGCTTGTCCGGGGTTGTTCTTTTCATAAATACCCAATGATGATATCTGGCCATGCAAGATTCCACCTACCGAACAAAAGGGGAGAAAAGAGTTCAAGGAAGCTCGTGAAATAGTAAATAAAAACGTTCGCCAGGGGGATGCTGAATTTGCTGATTACTCACATCTGCCCCCTGCAGGTGGGAAGATCACCTGAACAGTCAGAACTCTCTACATTCCAGGTTATCTATATCAATATCCACTCTTCTGTTGCATCATTTTAATTGTCGGAATTGAATGATAAAAATAGGATAGGCTCACTGAGCAAAAATTCATTGAAACGTTGTATAATTTGCACCTGATGCAAATTGTAATGGGAGAAACGGCCTAGTCAAGGGGTGGATGGCGAGGATATAATTTCATATCTCAATGCTTGACATTCTTATATATTAGGGTCCTTGAGTTTATATGTTTGCCAGTATAGCAATTATTATCTTTCGGCTTTCCAATGTTGCTAAAATTGTGGTTGATAGTATTTTCACAGATATTGGTCTAGATGCATACATATATAGCCCTGTGGGTTTCAAGTTTTTGATATTGATAAATGCAACGGATATCTCTATTATATATAACGACCAATTAACCAATATTTAAGCAAACACAACCCTCCGCCCTAACCTACCAATGACAAAACCATTTTTATCAACAAGGAGTAGGGAATATTCTCCTTTTGGTGAACCTTTCGTTTATGCATTAAAAAAACTCATCGTGCCTTGGGATTACGGGCAATCTGAGTAGTTCAGTCAGATCAGAAGCGCATTCCACAACGTGAAACCATCAGAAACACTTCATTCAGGTGCCTGTCAAATCCGTCAGAATGTTTGTTAATCTAGGTTCAACACCCATTTCCTGTCCTTACTGACAACCCTGGAAGATCAACCCCTCAGATCACGTGTTGTGCATAGAATTGGTTGAGACTGCACGAAGCGATAAGCCATTAGTACGGAATTGAGTAAAAGGAGAAGGAATTTAGAAATATACCAGCTTTGATCTCAATATTCAAAGATTTGTTGCGATTGTTGATGGTCGGAGTGATTGTTGACGACGTCATCGAGGGATCTAGGGCTCCCGGCAGTCACGATCGCCTATATCCTCCTACCTTCACCTCCATCAAGGACAACCCTTCGATGCACGGAGAAATAATCATACTGGATTCCTAGAAGATCAAATTCGCTTTAAAAACTTCCATTCTCAGGGACTGAAACGAACTGACGTCTGGACAGACAGGTCCACAGGGATAAGGCTAACAACAGCCAAACCCTCAACACATCCCTGGCACTAGCACCCTGGCACTAACAAGTCAGCATTCCACGTTATCAAGCTAAGATGAACTACCCTCGGCAGAGAGGGCTATCCTTAAGGCCTTGGATTCTTTTGATGCACGCCCCCTCGGCTGTTACATTCCACCCCTCCACGCTATACTCGCGTCGACGCGCTCCAGGGCTAAGAACCCTTCATTAAATTCCTCTTTAGTTCATCAACGGTCCTCTCAGTACCAACCTTATCTATGCTATTCTTTGCACCAATTGATGACCTTTCAGCGTGACTACAACTGGGTTCGATTTGGACCCGGCGCATTCAATACGCCTGTTCTTCACCTATAACATAGTCGCATTCTTCCCTACCCGGTTACTGAGACCCAGCAAACTTGAAAAGGGCCACCAACAAAGTCGTTCGTCTTTGAGTCCTTCAGCTATCGCGACCATGGCGCCTGGATTTTCAGCTACACCGCGAAAGGAGGGTACATGGACGAAGCTTGTGATATTTGTTGCGCTATACTTGCTACTACTCGAGTCTATCTTGGAATGGGTTCTTGTGTTATACCTTTACGGCAATGGCCAGGTTGACTCAAAAATGACTCCAAGTGTTGTGCTTGCACTTGTCGCAGTATGTTTGATTTGAATATCCTTGCCTATTATATCGTGTTACTGACCTTCTATTTAGTCTTTTCTTTCGGTGCCACTTGTTGGCCTCCAAAGCCTGGTCGCCTGGCAATACAACAACATTGGTGGATTTGGAACCCAGAAAACGATTCTGCATAATATATGCACATATGTCCTGCGCTTGGATCTTATGCTCTGGCTAGCTACAAGTGTCGCTGGTCTAGTGGTTGCTGCACAGCAGGTGTACTGTCTGCCGGAAGGGACAGATGCAACTTTCTGGAGAGTTGGTAAAAGCTGTGCCTTCCATCGAGCATCTGTGATCGTATCGGTTATTTCGATGTATGCTGCATTTTCGTTCCATGGCTTCTTTACTTGAACTGACAATTATCCTGCAGGGTCACTATGTGTACTATGTACTGCGCAAGGGAGCTTTGTGATCGCCCGTATGATGTATCTCTTCTCGGTATCTACAAGCGCCAGCAAGTTACCAGAAATGGCAGTATCATTTCCGGCAATAGCTGGGACAGCGAGGAAACGCTCAAAAACGAGATTATCTATCTTTGCCGCCAACACGATGGAAACGGAGCCGGGGAGTTCTGGTCTGTGGACCCAATAGCCAACAAAGTCAACTGCCATCCCAGCATCCAGCATCCTGCCCCTGTCCGTCTGAGGCCTCAACTCCGAGTCAATACTGATTCCGGTTCGACGTATGGAGAGATTATGTCTGGAACGACGATTTCGCCCGGGGATACCGCACACCGTATCTCACCCGGATCACAAAGCCTGGCGAGCGAGTTCTATCCCATCTCGAGCACATCTACTGTCATGAGTTCACAGACAGCCAACGAATTACGCGCTCTTCTCACTAACACGCCTGCCCCTAAAGTTCCTCAAATCCCTCAGGAATACACCAGCCATAAGAGATCAAAGTCATCACTCTCTTCTCTTAGACGACTTCTTCCAAAATCTTTCCCATTGTCGCTTCCATTATCATCGGATCCTCAAATCCAGGCCCTCGCAGACCCCAACACCGCATCGGATGTCGAAAAGCAAGTTGTGACCCCAAACAGCATGCCCAAGGAAATCCCTCAATCCACAACCTTCCAACTCCTCGCAAACGGAGACACGCCAAACGCCTCTTCGGCATCTCTCCCTCAAAGCCCTGAAAACACCCAACCAACATCTAAATCAGCACACCCAGAAGGCCACACCCGAACAATGACAATGAACTCCGCCGACGCCCCAGAAGTTGTTCCAACAACCCAATCCTCTCCACCAAAAGTGCGCCGCTCTCAAACCGCCCACGTCATGTCCACATCCCGCTCAATTCACCACCCGCACCACCCAAATTTCGTCCCACGCCCGCCCTCCCAACCACGACCAAGAGCATACTCCCAGTCCCGTCGTCCAGCCCCCGGCCCAAGAATGCACCCAGACCCAATGAGAAAGGCCATGCAACCCAAACAGAACGTCATCCACTACCCCGTCCGGAGTTCCTCCTACCACTTCGACCCAAACTACATCCCGCGTCACTCGCAGAGCCAGTACAGCTTCCACCCCAGGACCCGCCCCGGTAACAGCCAGTACAGACACCAATCTTCCCGCTGGGAAAACCAGCGCCGCTACGGCTCAGTCAGATCTATGCCAGCACCGATCCCCCGTCGCAATGATGTCGAAGTGATCTATCCCAGCACCCGTCGTTCGCGCAGCATTACCCCTGCCAGCGCAAGTGGCCCACTCAGCTGCATCTTGGAGACAACTGACCCGCATGCTTCGGGCGATGATCCCAGGCCTGTTTCGGCTGCTTGCTCTGAGTTGCCGTCTAATTCTATTGATGAGACGAAATATCGTGGTGCGAACCGGACGAGTTTGGGCTTTTACTGAGAGGATCTTGAGTATTAATATCTGTCTGTCTGCCGGTCGGACATTCTTTTGGTTCTATTTGATTTATTTTTGGAGGTGATATGGTTTGTATGAGTGGATAGTGTGCCCAGGTGTACCAGGGTGATTTGGTTACTTTTTTCTTACTCTCAGTGTTGTTACAGTTAGCTTTGAAGTCACTTTTGGATACCAAAATAAATTTGTTTACATTAGAAACACAAGCAATTAAACAATAATTAAAGAGAAAGAAGGTAAAAAGATTAGTACAAAATTCATTTGGTAGCACTCGAAAGAAACGAGATACAAAATCCGCCTCAACGGAGAACAGAACAGACGAAGACATGCAAATTCAGATCCCAAATTCCATTCCAGGAAGGTACACCAGGTCGCTAAAAGACGAATGAAAAGAAACACAATGCAATCCACAACCCGATATTGTACATCAACCCCAGAGAAACATCAAGATTAAACAACCCCATCTAAGCCCTAGCTTCCGTGCTCTTAGACTTCTGCTTCTGGGCATACTTGTAGCGATAAGCCTGGCCACTCTTGCCATCCACATCACGTTCTCGGTCACGACGACGGCTCTCCTTGCCTTGACCTTCAGCCAAAGACCCCGGTCCACGACCAAGTTCCTTCTCGCCCCAGCTCATCATCAATGCCTTGGCCATACGATCACGCTCTTTGAGGAGCAGGTCGATGCGTCGCTCCCACTCGCGCTCGCGCTTGTCCACTGACAAAGCGATGCGCTGGTCAATCTCGGCCGCGGTTTCATCCTTTGCCGCAATAACGTCTTCCAGGCGTCTGAGTTCTATTTTGAAACTCTTGCGTAGGTGGGTTTCGGAGGTGGTGGATGAAGAGCGGAGATTTACAAGTTCCGAGCGTAGATCGGCTTCCCGTTGCTCGGCGCTTGTGAGAAGGTTGCGGATTTTACGCATTGACTCTGCGTGCGAGGCGCGCAGAGTTGACACTGCAGTTGAGTGTGCGGTTTGCAGGCTGCGGAGTTGGCTTTGGTGGTTTGCCTCCAGGGCTGCTATGTCTGGTCCTCTTGGCTCTGGGTTGAGAGCTCCGCGCGCTGTTGGGGGTGACGGGGGTGGGCTGGGAGGTTCAGCGATCTTGTCTTCTTGTAAGCGGGCGATTGTCTCGAGGGACTCGGCGTTCCCTTCTTGCGATTGGATTAGGTCGTGCTGGCACTTGTTTAGGGCCGTTGTGAGCTCGTTCACTCGGGTGGAGAGTCGCGAGTTCTCTGTTTCGATGGTTTTGATAAGGGTCTGCGCTTCAGTTGCCTGATCACGCAGACGTGCTGCTTCGGTATCTGCAGCTTTCTGGGCGGCAGATAACTCCTGGAGTTCTTGCTGAAGGCTTGCAATGGTTGGCATATCAGGTTGTTGCGGTTGCTGCACAACACCTTGACCATCCACGAATTTCTCCTTCAATGGTGAGTGGAGTGGGGATGCAGGATTCCCTGGGCCCAAATCTTTAATCAGGTCAAGAATCTCGCTGTATGTGCTATGGCCACTAATAGGGAGATCTGCAGCAGCAGCCTTGAGAGCACTCTCCTGGGCTTCCATGTGGGATTGAACACGGGTAAGATTTGCTTCCAGTGTAGTGTTCTTCTCCTCCAAAGGACGATTTCTAATTTCCAAATCGATGAAGCGTTCCTCGAGGACCTGATAATCATTATGCGCACGCTCCAATTCCGACTCCAGCTTCTCATTCTCTAGCCCGTAGTCGTCGATCTGTGCTTGGAGTTGATCAATCTCTGAGTTCTTTTCCTGTATTTGGGTATCCTTGACCCGTGTGACTTCCTTCAGCTTGGTGAACGTCTCATCTAGAGTTTCATCGCGCTTTCGCACCTGCTCTTGGGAAAGATCGAGTTGCTGGCGCAGGTGAGCAATTGTCTCCAACCGCTCCTTGTCCATAGAAGTCTGTACATCTTTGTCTTGGAGTTGCTGCTGCATCTCACGAATCTGGTTCAAAAGAGGACTGAGATCCGTTGTGTTCATGCTTGACTCGCGCAATAGCTTTTCTTGCTCTTCATTTTTCTTTTGAAGTGACTGAACTTGCTCGCGTAGCATTGCCTCGTCGCCACCTTTGGCATTCACCTCATCCAGGAGAGCGTTCTTCCGCTGCAATTCTGTCTGGAGATGACGGATCTGCTCACTAGCAGAAACAGCTTCGAGCACACGATTCCGATTCTTTTGTAATTGGTCATCGCGTTCCTTCAAGGTTTGCTGCAGTTGGGCAATCTGCTGGTGAAGATCCTCATTCTGCTCCTCTGGTGCGTGACTGGAGGCGTCCGACAATTTTCGGACGGAAGGAGATGCGGAATCCTGGGCCTCATCATCATCGGGGTATTCTTCAATACCTTCCAAGTGAGTTGAATCTTTGGGGAGAGCACTGGTCCGGTGCAACAAGTGTGAAGGGGTCGACATATCGACTGGCGGACCGAATTCACTATATTCGCCAGAGTCGGCTTCTTCTTCGATCACGGGTTGCTTCGATTTTCGAGAGGATCGTCGTACTGATCCGTAGTCTTCTTCATGTTCATCCTCATGGTTCGCTCCGTCGTCCATATCGCCCATCAGGTATTTCTCCATATTTGCGGTAAAGTCTTCTGGGCCGCCAACATCGGATAGTTTGTCTACATCTTGATGGAAAGGGGGCAGAGTGTCCTCGTGCCCATCCAAAGCAAAATGGCCGCTTGGGAAGTTGCTGAAATCCAAGGTGTAATCGGCAAGTCGCGCATCGAGATCTGAGCCCGTTGGGCTTCCGGGAGAGGGTGGTCGAGAGACACGCTGCATTTCATTATCGGAATGGTATTCATCGTCAGTGGTATGGTCACGACTTTGGTTGCTAGGTTGTGTTGCGGCGCGCTCGGTTGCAGGAGTCTGGGCAGTTGCAGGAGTTTGGGCGGTTATCGGAGATCCCAATGGACTGGAAGGATGTTGTGGAGGAGATGATGGCATGAAGAGGGGTGTCACTAGTGTTGACTGCCCGATGGTGTCATGTGAGGTTGGAAATGGGGAGGTATAGCCCGTGTTGGCCATGGTTGCGCACGCGTGCAGATGCGGATGCGGATGCGCAAAGTTGAGGGCAACACGATAAGGCCAAAACTACCAAAGTAAAGGTCAAGTACAATCCCTGGGGTTACACTCAGGTGCTACCAAATGAAAGATATTAACTGGGAAAATAGAGAAATAACAATAACCAAAATTGCGGGGAAGAAAAGAAAGATTGAAGAATCTCGCGACGGTTTGTATTTGGGCGCCTGAGGCATCAATGTTTATCCACTGCCATTTTAGGTCTAGCGGCCATTTGTGTCTGATATGCTTCTTACTTGTTACTTCACTCTTCTCTCTTGTTTCATATTTATTATTTGCTATTTGCATGTAATTGATCCTAAAATCAACAGTTTGATCGAAAATCAAGCCATTGTCTTCCATTCTTCGAATCCAGGTGGAACCACCGAAGGCTCATGCGATCGGCCACGCCGTTCGGCTTCTAACTCAGTTTCCCCGTTCCCTGGTGGTTTTTTCCGAGCACTAGCACGACCGCCTTTCGACGCGATAGCACGCTATTTACCCATGTTCATACAATTAACGACAAGGTCTGTTGCTAGTTGATGTTGCAGCACTCTCACCTGTTTCTCTGGATCCATATTATGGAATCCACCCACGCCGGTGGCTTTCCCTCCCTTTTTCCCACCCTTGTGGCCTATTTCTGAAAGCTCTTCGCGTGGACGATTTGAAAAATTCCCAGGGTTAGGGTGATGTGGACGATTGGGGGGCGGTACTGTGGTGACACTACAGCGATTCCACAATCCAACATTCACAGACTGCGTGGATGAAAGCAATCTAAGAAGCGGACGTGACATGATTCGAGTACCGTTGATCATAGACATCATTCTACCGAGTATAGAAGTTGATACAAGAAGTATACGCTGCTTCGCAAGAAGATGTTGCTTCGTCACAAGATTGGTTTGATGGGCATGGCCCGCAACTTATGTAGTCTCCAGAAATGCTTATTTTGCCTCCATCAGCTTATCGGAGGTGGTGGTGGCTTGTCTCTATATTCCCTGCGACTTCCGCTAGTCAGCTTTCTGTATACCCACAGGATAGACCTGCCATTCGTGTATCTTTGGAAGAAACCCACCCTGAGATACACCGTGTCCCTGGTGGCCCATTTTAATTTGTTGGAGCACTAATCCGGCATCCAAATTTGATGTCATGTTCAGGTCTTCCCCATTGAGCCGAATCTAACGCCATGGATATATGGATCAGCACCCGTGGTTCTAGTATTGAGGTAGTGATCCAGGCCCGTCTGGGATGAGAATGAGAAGAAAGATTCCCTAGAAAGTGGTATCCAATTCAACCTACACATGCACATACTTAGCTCTACTTTACCCCAAAGCAATACCCATAGTTTCTTGTAAAAAGCTGGCAGCCTTGCTCAAAAATGGGTCTACACTGGGGACATACATTCAGCTTAGTCAGTACGGATTTGGGTTTATTGTGCGCAAGTATTCAGTCCGATCTACTACTTTGTGTCGCAGCGATATTTCCCGGTTGTTTCCATTTTTTATTTGGAAATTCGTCCTTGCATAACTCAGGAGTTTTATTTACTTCTCTGTGGTCCTTTTTCCCGGACGCTAGGAGCTTGGAGGATCTCGAACCCCCACAGCTACCAACCGCCAAAGCTTATGCGTGTCATCCATCTCTCACAAACAAAGCCCATGGAATAAATTTGCTACAGAATACAAATAGCTGCATATTCAATATCTTCATCTCTTCAAAATGCCACCTATTCGAGGTGGACTCGGCGAGCGCCCGCGGGTGATCTTGTATCACCAAACGCTCATTCCAGGCGGGGGCCAGTATGTCTCCATGCTCCCGCTCCTCGAAAACAACACCGGAATAACACATGTTATTCTCGCGGCTTTTCACCTAAACGGCGCACCAGGAGACATCACTCTCAATGATGACCCGCCAGATAATGCCAAATTCGACCCCCTATGGGCCGAAGTGCCCGTCGTGCAGCGACAAGGCGTGAAAGTGATGGGCATGCTAGGCGGGGCCGCCCCGGGGTCGTTCACGCGGCTTGACGGTAGCCAGGCGGAATTCGAACAATTTTATTATCCTTTCCTGACTGTCATCCGCCGCCATGGCCTTGATGGAATCGATCTCGATGTAGAGGAGAGTATGTCTTTGCAAGGCATCATACGACTCATCGACCGACTCAAGGCTGATCTGGGCGACGCGTTTATCATCACCCTGGCTCCCGTGGCAGCTGCACTACTTGGTATTGGGAACCTATCAGGCTTTGATTACCGTGAACTCGAGCAGGCTCGTGCTTCTAAAATCGGCTGGTACAATACCCAGTTCTACAACGGCTGGGGTCCCGCTGAGGATCCTCGGATGTATGCCAGTATGGTTTCCCAGGGGTGGTCTCCGCGACGGATCGTGTACGGTCTTTTGACAAACCCGGGTAATGGATCACAGGGTTATGTGTCGCAGGAGAAGATTGGACCTGTTTTGGCAACGTTGGTCGAGCAGTTTCCCAATTTTGGTGGCGTTATGGGTTGGGAGTATTACAATGCTCTACCTGGGGGCACGGCGAAACCCTGGCAATGGGCTGCTCAGATGTCATTGAGCCTGGGTATGAAAGATGTTGTCGTGGCAGCTCGTCAGTTAATGTCGGCAGGGCCGATGGCGAGCACTCTGAATAATTTGTTTCAAGATATGCTGAATCAGGGGCGTCCATGAAGCAAAACGAATATCTAGAATTTTCGACAGATCATGGCTATATACTTGTAGCAAATGGCTTTGTCCATGTTGGCCTGCATAAATTCCTTGCCACGTGAGAGCATTACTAGAACCTCAGCTTTTAGTACCTAAATTGTATACTACTGTTGGAGTCAAAGTAAGTAAATCTAAGGGTATAGTCAGGCAATAGATATAAATTGTATAAATTATACAAATTATACAAATTCATGCAATTTATAGGGCAAATTGGTGTTCAATATCTATGCTATGTTGTTGCATAGTATGATTGTTGATCTTTCCCTAGATAGATACGTCATCGCATCAATCAACCCTTGAAAAAGACCATCCTCCACTTTTCATCATCTCCATTGTTTCTATTTAGCATGCAGTGATTTTTACTCTTTACAGCTGGTCATATTGCATTGCATAATGGCCTCCCTACGGCGCATTACTGTAGCCACAAGCTCGGCGATCATCCGACTGACGGCCTTCGCGTTTCTGCGATGGGTATAAGGCCCCCATAAACAGTCAATCTAGCGTTTCAGAAAACTTACATATTTACAGATTCCTGGCCACCATTTCGTGCCTCTGGTGGTTACTTCTCTAGTGGTGTACCTATCGTCAATATTCTCCTTGCTCAAGGACACCCAACCTCAAAACCAAGCAGCTAAAGCCCGAGGCTCGAACAGTCAGACTCCACTTCCAAATAATCACACTACAGGACTCTAACTAACGTAATTCACAGGGTATAAGTCAGAAACTAGCTGTGCTAAAGCCGGCGGTTCCGTGCTTAGTACACTGTTAACAGGGCTGCCTTCGGCAAAGTGGCCCCCTGTGGACCAGGATCACGATATTAATCAATGTGGTCCTGGCAGCGCTAACACTTGACTTCTTGACCCGTGGTATTCTACTGTATCCTACCACAGATGTCGCATTTTCGCGCATTGGATATGTGTCCCCAACTACTGCCAACTTGGTCTTTCGCGAGCCAGACTCGGCTCATCTACCAGTGGCGGTTATGTTCCAAGAGGTCTCTGAAACGAGCCAGGACTGGTACGAAGAGGGCATCGTCTACAAGGTGGATAACTCCACCGACTTCACTACGACGGTGAGCATAACCGACCTGAAGCCAGCGACGCACTATCGTTACTCGCTGTCTAACAGCCAATCTGGCACATTTACCACGGCGCCAGAGCCCGAAACCCCTGAAGCAAGCCGGCTGTCTTTTGTAACATCAAGTTGTCTGAAGCCAAACTTCCCTTACAACATACTATCACACCCACTACGGATCCCAGGCCTCGAGCAAATGACCGACGCTCTCGCCAAACTGCCCAAGCGACTTCGCCCAGCATTCATGCTCTTCCTAGGCGACTTCATATACATAGATGTCCCCTGGCGCTTCGGCTCAACAATGTCGCACTATCGCAGCGAATACAGACGCATCTACTCATCCCCCTCCTGGACCCACGGCCCAGAAGAAAATCGCGCCATCGACCTCCCCTGGCTGCACACCCTCGACGACCACGAGATCGAAAACGACTGGTCGCAGGGCAACAAAACCGCCCCGTATCCTGCAGCAGCAGACCCCTTCATCCACTACCACGTGCGAGCAAACCCACCTATCCCCGCCGCACCCTTCGCCCATCCAGACAACGTAACCTACTTCGCCTTCACGCAGGGCCCAGCCTCATTCTTCATGCTAGACACACGTACCTACCGCACCGAGCCCTCGCACAAGAACTCAACCATCCTCGGCCTTCCCCAACTCCAATCCCTCCTCGCGTATATCTCAACCCCAGAGCCAGCAGGCATACACTGGAAAATCATCTCCTCCAGTGTGCCCTTCACCAAGAACTGGCACGTCGGTACCACAGATACCTGGGGCGGATTCCTGGACGAGCGTCGCACAGTCTTTGAAGCAATGTGGCGCGCAGAGCGCGAGCTGGGAATCCGTATCGTTCTGCTTAGCGGTGACAGACATGAATTCGGTGCTACTAGATTCCCGGACCCAGAACTTAACCTAGGTCGCGATCAGCTTCTGCCTAATACGGCTGGAATGGGAGTGCATGAGTTCAGTGTTGGCCCATTGAGCATGTTTTACCTCCCCATCCGTACGTACCACCAGACAGACGCCGAGGATGTTATGGTGAAGTATGCGCCGAATGGGAATAGTAAGTTCGGGCTTATTGATATTGCGGATGTTGTTGAAGACGTTGGTTCGAGTGCTGCTCCGCCTGTCCGGGCTCGCAGCTCGGTTCTTACGTACTCGTTGTATGTGGATGGGGAGGTTGTTTGGAAGTATCGTCTCAGCGTTCCATTGGATCGTGATGCGAGTGTCCATGGCCCTTCAATGCCACCGGGTCAGGTGGTTCAGGATGAGATTCCGGATCTCAGTTGGAGTGTGGTACTTGGGACTGTTGTCGGACGGGTGCCGGAGTTGACGAAGTGGATTGTTGAAACGGTTAACGATCTCTACTTTCAACTTGCGGATAGACTGCGGAAGATTGAGAGACTTGATTAGCTGATTTGATTGTTACTCTAATGAATCGTCTCGTTTGCTCATTAGAATCCATCCAAGACAGGTTGGATGACCAGTTTACGTAGGTTCCTCCAAGCAGGTGGCATGTGGGTGTGATATCTCGGATGATACAGCAGTGGGAGGAGCGCGGCCTTGAATCGCACAATGTCAAAAATCCAGGTTCTATAATCAAGTATCCAACAAGAATAGTCGGCCGCTTATGCGGCCTTGTCCTCTCTTTTCAAAAGTCTATTGAGATGTCTTTTTGGGTGTATACGAAGGCGATAAAAAAGCATATTCTGTGCAAGAGACCTTATAAATTAAATGCCTAGCAAGCCCAGGGCGAGATCGGGCTGTGATTTGTATCTCGTTACATAGATATATGGTGGGAAAGGGGGATTTTATACACGGTTTGCGCTGGGGGAACTGCTGAACCAAAAACAAAACGCCGATCGCCTTGGCCCCCTAGGATCGATTCACTGGGGTATAAGATGTAGGTAGACAGGAGGGAGAAGGAGAGGAGATTGGAGACCGAAGATCAATGACGCACTCGATGGGAGAGACGCTTCTGCCATTGCCAAGCTGGAAGATTTCAGATAGCGAACTGTCTCGACCAGTAAAACAAGAGGGATAGGATGAGAAATGAAAAAAAAAAAAAAGAAATCGCTGAGACTTGATTTCAGGGATGTCTCTTCACAAATGATTAATTAGATCAGATGAGTAGCGATTTGGCGGGCTCCAAAAGGTAGACGAAGACGAAGGCCTGCTGGCTCGACGACGTCGATTAGAAGCGTCCGCCGCTAGAACGGCCATGGCCACCTCTTGTTGTCACCTCGTCTTCACTACCACCAGCGATTCCGCCTAACAGACTAGCTCCCCAGATGCCGGCGATGCCCCACATTCCAATACGCCAGCCGCGGTACAGGCCTTGGATACCCTGGCCTTGTTCTCGTTTCTTCTGCGAGGTACGCTGGCCGAGGAGCTGCTTGGCACGCTCTGTGTCGGAGGGTTTCGAGCTGACACCCTCCTCATAAACAACATGCCACATTGTGCCAATGATACCGCGGTATGTGCGCGGAGTGGGGACAATGGTTTCCACATCGGAGGCATCAATAGATGCCGCACTGATGCTACCGCCTGATGACTTTTGGCGCAGACTCAAGGATGTATATGTGGCGATCTGGGCGCGGCGGAGCACGGTCTCGAGGGGGAATCGCACGGCGAGTTCAAGTCCTGAGCCAAGGAATGCACAGAGGTTCCATGCGTTCGGGTTTAGGAGGGGGTCGATGGACATATAGGATTTGAGGAAGAGTGGTGTGGAGGTCATAATGAGGTTGGGGAGACTTGAGTGAAGCACGGTGATTGGGACGAGATGCGAGGGGATTGTGCAGTTGGGTGTGGGGAGCTGGCGGATAGCTCGGACGAGGGATCTCGGCCCATGGGTTGCTGGTGTGAGCATCAGGAATGTACGAGCGGTGTCGATAGGAGCTAGGATCAGGGCCGATAGCGAGGATGAAATGAATGACAGGACCAGCGTTGCCAGAGGGGATGATGCCGTCAGAATGTCCGCTGTCATTGACGTGGAGATATCCTCCTCGGGCAAACCGACGATTGCCGTGAGAAGACTGCGGATGAAAGTGTTGAGGGTCGGCAGGAGAAGTGAGTAAATGAATGTACTATTAGAGGACTTCCAGAGGGAGGTTGGGCCGCTGGAGGACCAAAGCTGAGATAACACTTCGGTCAAGGAGTTCGAGTTCTTGAGAGTCAAGGCATGTTTGGGCTGTGCGGCAGATTCCGGTCGAATATAGCCACTGCGGTCGGTAATGTGGTGGCGTGATTTGCGAGATCGAGGTGTACTCGGTGTCGGCGTTGGAGGGGCCGCTGAGGTGAAGTAACTGGTTTCATCATCAGATGATTCCGAGTCCTATACGCAATTCCGTCAGTCATTTGCCGTGGAATTCAACACATCTTTATATTAGCTATAGAGAACAGCATGCTTACCGAATCATATGAGCTTCCTTCAGCACCCGGTGTCGACTTCCGATCCCACTGTTCCTCTGTGGCGTCTGGTACGACATACACCTGCAAGATGGTTTTGGCGACATCGAACGGCTGTGCAGTCAGAACTTTGGTGTAGCGCACAAGCGCTCGGTTCAGGCTATCGCGGACCCAGTCAGACACAGATGGCGAGGCTTCCAAATAATCGGCATAGTCCAAGTCCGGGATGAGATCACGAGCTGTGCTGCCAAACACATGGCCCGATGACGGCGATGCTACCTCGGAGGGCGCATTGGAAGCGGGCGATAAGCCAGACGGGGGGATATAGTAAGGCCGCAAGGGATTGATCCCTTCACGAGACGCCATAATGTGATGTTGGTCGGAGTTAAAGGTGGTTCGGGGAAAGAAGAACGGGAGGAGTGGAATGTCCGAACGCCCAAGCTTTGTCAGTCGTTTTTTTTCCTCCGCGGCCATTGGCCGATCAGTGTTCACTCTTCCTATCTTCCCCCGGATCCTCTTTTTTCCCTTTTGACTTTCAAATTCCCCTTTTAATTTATTTATTCACTTCTCTGCAACATGGCTTTCTGGCGTGAGGTTGGTCAGCAATTGCGCCGTGTGCCTAAGACCGGGGATGTTTGTTTGACTCAATCGCGGAGATGCCTCAGTTATTCAAGGTCATGGAAGAACACCGGAATCACAACACCCATTCGCTCGCAAATCAAAGCACAGAGAAGCCTTCAATCACCTTGGCAAGGATATAATACGTCCCGACGTGCTTTCTCAGTGACTACCCAAGCTGCGCATGGTCATATCACGCCGCCAAAGGCCGGAGAAGAGTACGCCCACCAGATTGCACTTTTCTTGCGCTTTTGCGCTATCTATACCACATGCTGACTTTGATCCGTAGGATCAATTTGACTTTCATCGACAAGGATGGCACCAAGATAGACCTCCAGGTTGCCGAGGGCGATAACCTACTCGACATTGCACAGGCCAATGACCTTGAAATGGAAGGTAAGTCGGGCCAAAATAATGGTTATTTAATTCCAAATGTCTGACATTATGTCTGGAATAGGTGCGTGTGGAGGATCTTGTGCCTGCTCAACATGCCATGTGATTGTGGACGACCCGGACACCTTTGATAAAATGGAAGAGCCATCAGACGACGAGAACGACATGTTAGATCTGGCTTTCGGGCTTACCGAGACCTCTCGGCTGGGCTGCCAGGTTATCATGACCAAGGATCTTGACGGAATGGTTGTGCGGTTGCCATCCATGACACGGAATCTCCAAGCAAGCGACTTTGAGTCGAAATAAAGAGATCAGCAGAAACCCCGGGTGGGACTGTTTGGATCTTGAATACCCTCATATCTTATCTGAATCGAGAAGGCTGGACACAGCGGGGGTTTATGGTCCTATTTGGTCCCAAATAGGACTTTGTACTGTAATATTCATCTGATGCATCTAGTACGCTTGCACGGTATCTCAAAATGAAAATCTCCTGTACTATTTTGATCAAACAAGACTCTCCACATAAGCAATTTTATTACAATGTAGAAAAGAATATATAACAAAAAAGAATTCTCCCAACGCCAGAAACATGCCATGGGTAATCGTAGATCCAGCTCACGCCTCTTCGATGTTCAAAGGCTTTCCCTTCTTTCCATTGATCAATTCAAGGAATCCTTGCTTGCTGACCTCGTTGGCAGCCTTCTCCCGTTCTCCCATACCAATTGTGCCCTTCTTGCGCTCATCCTTGGCCGCCTCCTCTCCTCGGACTTGGGCCGCGCGCACAGCATTGAACAGCTTGACAACACCACGCTGCGCCATCTTGCGCACGCGCTTCTCCTCCTCGGCGACAGAGCCCGCAATTCCTCGCTGAATGCCCATCACATCACGGATACGGCCGCGATCCATTTCCTCCTTCTTCTCAGCGCGCATCTTGGCCCGCGCGGCGTTGTCGAGCTTCTCATCTGCAGCATCGTTGACAAGCTTGGCGGCATACGAGCTTCGCGAGAGAACGGGATCAGCACGTGCGGAGGTAGGAAGTTTTGTGGACAGAATTTTGGAGATGGAGGTTGAGAATGCGGTAGGGTCGTTGCGCTTGGGGACGGCTCGGCCGCGATTGGCGCCTGTAGCTTTTCCGGCCGGTGATGAGTCGGAGAGATCATCTTCGTCGGATCCAGAGACATCGCTTTCATCGTCGTCGTTCTCCAGGTCTTCGTCGTCCAGCTCAATCTCTTCGCCGACATTGGAGTCTGAGTCGCTAGCGCTAGCGTCTGATTTTTTCGGTTCGGGTGCGGGTGCTTCTTTTTGTGTCTTTGCCTTCTTCATGCGGATATCGAGGGCCGAGGGCTTGGTGACTGTGACACCTCCTTCTTCGGCGTCCGAGTCTTCAAGACTGACGGGGTTGAAATTCCCATCTTCTTCTTCGTCCTCGGAGCTGCTGTGATAGAAGCGCTGCTTGACGAACTTCTTCTTGCGGCCAGTGTTGCCTTTCAGGCCATCAAGGACCTTGCGCTTCTTGGAAAAAGTAGGAGGCATTGTTACAAAAAATTAATGTAATAATGCAAGTAAAGAAGAAAGTCAAGACGCTGATCCAAAAGTGCCCGTATCACAACTTTTTTTGGGGCGGTGAGAAAGTGTCCGCTCTCCGATTGGCCCCTCCACATCGCCTCTCTGGTCTCTCGACGGGCTTCACCCTCACCCCTCATCCATCGCGGAATCATAGACGACTACGGTCTCATTCGGGCTTTTCTTATTAATCGTTTACATCTACACACATCTTCACCATGGTTCTTCAAGACCTTGGGCGGCGAATCAATTCCGCCGTCAATGACCTGACTAGGTCCAATAACCTCGACGAGAAGGTATGCCATGTGTTGTCCAGTACGGCCCACAAGCCAACCTGCTAATACAATAACAGGCCTTCGATGACATGCTTAAGGAAATTTGCGCCGCTCTCCTCTCCGCCGATGTCAATGTCCGTCTCGTAGGAACGCTACGCAAATCGATCAAAGCCAGTGTGAACTTCGCCTCGCTCCCAGCCGCAGTGAACAAGAAGCGACTGATCCAGAAGACCGTCTTCGATGAGCTCGTAAAATTGGTGGACCCGCGTGCAGATTCCTTCCGGCCGAAGAAGGGTCGCCCCAATGTCATCATGTTCGTCGGTTTGCAGGGTGCGGGTAAGACAACAACGTGTACGAAGCTAGCTCGGCACTACCAGACGCGAGGATTCAAGACAGCGCTGGTCTGCGCGGATACCTTCCGTGCTGGTGCTTTCGATCAGCTGAAGCAGAACGCTACTAAGGCTAAGATCCCATACTATGGTAGTCTGACGCAGACGGATCCTGCTGTCGTGGCCGCAGAGGGTGTGGCCAAGTTTAAGAAGGAACGTTTCGATATCATCATTGTTGATACCAGTGGTCGCCACAGACAGGAGGAGGAACTCTTTACGGAAATGACACAAATTCAAACTGCCGTGACCCCAGACCAGACCATTCTCGTGCTCGACAGCACAATTGGTCAATCTGCCGAGGCTCAATCCGCGGCGTTCAAGGCCACAGCAGACTTTGGAGCTATTATTATTACCAAGACTGACGGCCATGCCGCCGGTGGTGGTGCCATTTCTGCCGTCGCCGCGACACACACTCCCATTATCTTCCTTGGTACCGGTGAGCACATGATGGATCTCGAGCGGTTCGAGCCCCGAGCGTTCGTCCAGAAGCTACTTGGCATGGGCGACGTCGCCGGACTGGTCGAGCACGTCCAGGCCATGACTAAGGATTCCGCGGGTGCCAAAGAAACATACAAGCACATTGCGGAAGGTATCTACACTCTGCGCGACTTCCGCGAGAACATCACATCGATTATGAAGATGGGCCCGCTGTCCAAGCTGTCCGGCATGATCCCCGGTCTGTCGAACATGACCCAGGGTCTAGATGACGAAGACGGCTCACTGAAGCTGCGCCGCATGGTCTACATCTTTGACAGTATGACTGTAGCCGAGCTGGACAGCGACGGCAAGATCTTCGTCGAGCAGCCTAGCCGCATGGTCCGCATCGCGCACGGTAGTGGAACCACGGTCCGTGAGGTCGAGGACGTGCTCTCCCAGCACCGCATGATGGCCGGCATGGCCAAGCGTGTTGGCGGCCAGAAGAAGCAGATGCAGCAAGCCCAGAACATGATGAAGGGCGGAAACAAGAACCAGCAGATGGCTGCCATGCAGAAGCGTATGGCCTCCATGGGTGGTGCTGGCGGCGGTGGTATGCCCGGTATGCCCGACATGGCCAAGATGATGCAGATGATGGGAGGTGGTGGCGGCGGCATGCCAGATATGCAGAGCCTAATGAGCCAAATGGGCGGTTTGATGGGTGGAATGGGAGGTGGTGGCGGTGGACGTGGAAGAGGACGTTAAGCTCGGTCTTTGATGATCTTCTTATTGCCTCCTTGCTTTTTTCTTTCTCCTTTCCATATCAGACCGTTGGCTCATCAATTTAGCATCTGGGCTGGTGTTTGGCGTTTTCTTGCTCCTTCACATTTATGTGCAACACCTGTACACGAGAACAAATTTGGTAATGAGCCTATCACTATCACATATACCATCCTGGAAAAGGAATTATATCCCCTTCTTGTTCCACATCTTGAATTACGATTTTGAGAGAAAAGCAAATTGTAGTGCGGTACTATCGTTTCATTCATAATAAAACCACGTTGTACACATAATCTTTAAAAGATAAACGCCGCTAAAATCCACCCGTCTAGTAAAAGGAGAGAGAATTAAGCTCGAAAACAAAGGGTCCACCAGATCAACTACTGACCATGTTCATAGCGGCCAGGAGACCCTGCACCAGGCGAGCCCAGTGAGATCGAATGAGAATCAACATGTCATGCTTTTGGTGGGAGATGGAAAATAAATCGAGCCATGTAGATATACATGGAGCTCAGATCGATTCCCCATAGGAGACAGGGAGAAAAAGACAGAAGGGATATGAAACAAGTCCGTATGATGGTACATGAAGCGCCCGGGAGAGGGGGGGTTGGGTATCAAAAGTGCGGAAGAAAAAATAAATCAAAGGGGGGAAAGGAACCCGGACGCATGAGATCCATGAGGATTGTTTATTTTTCAGCGAAGCGACGATCGAAGTATCGCAACACGCCCATGACGCTCGCGGCCTCGACCTCCAGAGCACCTCGGCTGTCTGCGGGAGCGATCTCACGGGGGTCAGGGAGGGTGTGGAGCTTCGGCAGCCAGGTTGAGATCTCGTCGCTGGCACGGTTGAAGTTCGGGTGACGAGACAGGGTGGTGAATGTATCGGCACAGCTCAGGGTTAGCTCTGAGGGCGGAGCGGGCTTGGGTGCGGGAGGTTGCGAAGGCATGGAGGCGTTGTTACGCGGCTTGGGCGCGGCGGCGGGGGCATTTCTTGACATGCAGCATCCGCCGTCCTTTCCTCCGCCTCCGCAGCAGCCTCCTCCCGATGGAGTTCCGCTCGCTGACCGGGAGGCTGCCAACGTCTTGCAAAAAAGAGTGCTTCGGGGGTCGGCTTGACACTGGGCGCAGGTGCCTGGCCCATTGGCACAGGGGTTGGTTGCTTGGCTGATGGGTGGGAGGGTCACTTCTGAGCGGACGTCTCCCTCAGATGGGGGCGGGGTGAATTGGGAGATGGATTGGATTGGTGCGAGACGGTTAGTCTCGAATGTGTTAATGTTGCGCACACGCTGCTGCTCCTGTGCGGCCATCTCGGCGCAGATACAGGGAGTGCCGTCCTGGCAGAACCCGCAGGGATCAACGGGGGGGCGAGGAGACGTCGTTGTCGTTAGATTGTGTTGGAACGCTAGAGAATTGAGCGGTGAAATCGATTTCCATCTCTTCCGGATCGGGCTTGATGTGGGGGTCCCTGTGATCACGTTCCGGGCTGCCCACGCCATGAGGTGAGTGTCTAGAACGAGATGACTCGTGGGTATCCATCGGCATGCCGAATGCATCTTCAATGCACTGGCAGTGGGCGTTGGAGCAGTTGTTGCACCCCAGAGGTACATTGACCTGTCCATCCTCCTTGTTGCGTTCGGTACTAGTAGGTTGGACATCCTCCATTCGGGAGCTTCTGGTCTTGCGAGGTGGCAATGGCACAGAGTCCGGGATGGGCGCAGGCTTGCTAACGTTAGGGCCAGCAAGAGATGACCGGAATTCCTTAACAAGGGCTTCCTTTGCACTGCGCTCGATCGATACTTCCTTCTCCAAGGCGTGGCATCGGTCGCGCCACCAGCCCATCTCCTCCCGGCACTGATCAACCTCACCGGAGAGGTTTCCAATTTGCTGTTGGAGCGAGGCAACTTGGATATCGTGGCTATCTTCGAGTTCTTTCATTTGCTCTTCCAATTCACTCACACGGGCGGCCCGGCGCTCACGGAACGCTCGTTGAGCTGCTCGGTTCTGAGCTTTGCGTTTGGTCGGCGGGGTGTCCGTAGCTGGCTTGCGACCAGGCTTGGGACGTGGTGGGATTACCCATTCTTTCGAGGTTATAGAGCCGGGTGTACCCGGTCCTGGGGAAGGGGCTACAGAGGGTCTGGCGGCCAGCGTGGGTGCCGGTGCGAGTGCCAGTGTAGGAACTCCAGCTGGAGCAGGTGCCATAGACACACCACTGGCCATTTTGACACCGAATTGATGTTCAAATACTGTGTGGAGGTCAGTTGGGAACAACTAATCGGGGATGGTCGGGGCACACGCACGAGCCGTTTCTCGGTCGGAAGAGCGGAAGTGCGCTCATATGAGCCGATAAGCGAGAAAGACCACTTGCAGAGGAAGAAGGAGTTTGAAAGAACGAGTCTTCTTTCAAACCCTGTTCTTTATGGATTAATCAGACGGAGAATGGACACGCAAAAGAGCATAGAAAGGTTAAAGAGAAGAGAGAGGTGCGAAGGGAGGGGGGGAAAGCCGAGAAAAAGTGGCCGATGATCAGATTAGATTATGTGCTCACATGATGCCGGTTTCGGACGTTGACCTTTTTCGGCTGTGTGTAGTTTTGCCATTCTTCCAGGGTTTGCTCTTCTTTTTCTTTTATTGTTGATTTACTATTGGTTCATTTACTATCTTCCTAAACCTAATCCCGAGGGGATCTTTGAAATTTTTTTATCTGATCCGAATCTGAGTGGAGATGGTTCCGAGAAAGCGTTGGTGGGCTGACGCAGCACTTTTTTACTGTAATAGGCATATATTATTTGGTTGGTCTTATTTTTTCTTCGCTAAATGCGTTTATTATTTCTTAGGCACCGCTTGAGTATCAATTGCTTGAGCTGGCTAAGGATAGCTGCAATAGCAAATAATCCCATCCCAATTCCTAATTGCATACTCTGTAACATGCTAAACTTCCTATGCAGTTCACCGTTCACCCGCCTGATCGTCAATAACTCAAGGACAGACGACACGGATAAGAACTCTCCAGTGAAAGTAAAATTTGCTCGAGTGGGGTGTCTCGTCAATCCATTGACCATGGGTGGGCAAAACTCCCCCTACTTACGGTCTACCAGCCCTGTAGCCATTACCTAGCAGAAACGGCGACTGAGCCAATGAGGATCTGACAATGCGCAAAAGAACCTTCCCAGGAGTCATTCACCAGCGGTGAGGGTATGGATCGACATGGGAATAGGATCCCGTAGGGCCGTTCTCGGTCTCTTTGATCTTATCTGATTGCACTAAAGCTGCTCGCCTCCAGGGCTGACCATAATCCAAGGGCTAAACTGGAAATCGGCAAAATTGTCTCTCTTTACCTGCCGTATTTTGCCTCTTTGGATGATTGGGTCGGCCTTCTGTGGAAGTGGTTGGTGGTCTTGGCCAACCTTGGGAGTGCCCCCCACAGAGCAGAATCTTATCAATCAGTGAATGATGCTCCCCAACCTCATTCCGAGCGAGGGCCGAACAGCGGAACTTTCGTGTACATGACCCGATATGGAGATCACCGCCGCCAGTTAGTCACAGAGCTGTCTGTGACGTGCGTGTGCAGAGACTGACGGTGGAAAAAGTGGGATGTATGGAAAGAAGTCGCCGCCATTGGACACACTCGCTTCCCTAGCGTTTAGAGTCCCATTTTCGGCGATCCGAAAAATCGATCCACTTTTCTCAATTATGTCTTTTCAGTGCGATCATGGTGAAACTCATCATATAAACTGACTTGATGACGCAGTTTCGTGAGATTCTTGCAGCCATCAAGGACCCCTAATTCGCTCTTGATCCGCTTAAATGGATTGCAATATAGAATCAAAATCATGAGCCAAGTGGATTTCAGCTAAAGCCGATCAATGCAGAGCTCTCAATCTGCAAGGGACATGAAGTCTATGTTGATACCTGGAATATCTCCAATTCTCTAGCATTGAATTCACAAAATACCCATAGTTTCTTGTTCCATTGAAAGTCAATGAATCGTCGAGACAAGTAGTGCATTTCCTTCCATTGACGAGATCAGTTTGGCCTCTTGGTACTGAAAATTTCCAAGAGGCAGGCCTAGTGAGATTATGTATGTCGGAGGGGCAAATCCAAAGAGTTATCATTCCCTTCAAAAGGTTCAGCAACATACAACATTGTCTCACAGCTCCGTTAATCGAGGAGCTCCGTCTGATGGAGGAACAGAATGCTTAGTCTGCACGAAGACCTTCTGCATACCCATCTCTCGCTTATTGAAACTGGCATACAATTTCTCCATGTCTTCCAAGCGGACCCGGTGGGTCACCATATCCAGCGGATTGATATCGTTCGTCTGAATGAGGTCCATGAGGTGCTTCCAATACTTGTGAACAGGAGCCTGCCCATTACCCATAAGGTGAACGCCTGTCTGCATCAGAGCCCCAATGTTGAAGTGGTTGGTCTGGGAATGATTGTTAGATACTTAGCTCGTCCGAAAATCGGTGGACTCACAAAACCGGCATAGATACCCGTCACCCCAACATGGCCGAACGGCCGGACGGCAGTAATCATCTCGTTCAACAACTCTGAAGTATCTGTCTCCATCCCAAGCATTTGCTCAAAGTAATGTGCCCACCCTTTAGCGTATTCACCCGCTGCACATTCCAAAGCAACGTCGGGTCCACCCTCGACCATCTTTTGCAGCTGTGATGTCACTGACTCCCCTTTTGGCAGATCAGCGAAGTTGATCGTCTCAACCTTTGGCACTTTAGTCTTCACAAACTCCAATCGCCATGCACCATCACCTCCATCGATGAGTATGACTCGACTAGCTCCATGGTAGAAGCTGAACTGTGCACACATCTGCCCGATCGGTCCGGCTCCCCAGATAGCAACAACATCTCCCTCCTTCACACTGGTGTCGACCACGCAGTGCCATGACGTCGCTATAACATCTGAGACATAAAGTGCCTTCTCATCTGGTACTTCGGCTGGAATGGAAAGCAGGTTAACGTCGCCGTATGGAACTCGGATGTACTCGGCCTGGCCACCTGCAAACCCACCAGTGAAATGGGAATATCCAAACATGCCTGATCGCAATTTAGTGTGAAGCTCGGGGCCATCAGGGCCAAGTGAAGTGTAGATCGGCTACTCTGCTCAACTTACCTGCAGTTCGTTTCCCATATAAGGCATTGGCCAGAGTATTCTCGTTGGTCTTGTCGCATTGAGAATAGTATTCTCTCCGACAATTCCTGCAATTACCACACGCAATCGGAAAAGAAACGACAACTCGTTCTCCGACTTTGACCTTCTTTGATTCGGGCCCTATACTGTCCACAACCCCACAACATTCATGGCCGAGCACGTCGCCTTTCTCTAGCTGAGGAATGACGCCTTTACTCACCACAAGTGTGTCAGTCTATTCGCTCACCTGGATGGTTATAGAAATATCTTCATACCGTGATACAGGTGAAGATCACTACCGCAAATAGTGCTTCCCGTCACCTTGACAATGACGTCTCCGGGGTCGATCACCCGTGGCTTCGGCATTTGCACTAATCGCAGCGGTCAGCAATGTACAAAGGCTTAAACTGGCAATTCCCTCTCTCGCCTACCAACTTTGACTCGGTTCTTCCCTTGCCAGGTAGTAGCCTGGATCATCTCTCCGGTCTCCACTCCATGTTCATTGTCGTAGCTAGATACGTCAGTGGTGATTGTCGCATTATCACCATGGCCGAGAATCTTCTCTGCCAGGTTAGCTGCCTGGGTCATAGCCATTTTTGATATTTTTGAGGATGTGTATGGTTGTGTGTACTGTGGGAGGTGACAGGAACTTCCAGCACATTCAGTGTTTATTCTTATGGTGTTCCTTGGCATTAAATGTTGAAACTCCAGGCTTAGCTATCAACTGACATCACCATGATGTCGAGCGTGCGTCAAGAAGAGCTTTTCTCGTATAATGAACACGATATCCCTGGCATTCATGGAGCAATTTCAGCCTACTGTCTTTGCACTTTTCTCCAGACCCCGCGTTGTTATTGACCACGGCTCACTTGATCTGCGTGGTCGCCGTAAAATTATGGACTCTCATTGGATTATAGGACTTGGGAGGGGAGTTTGTGGGAATCCAATATTTTCAACCAAGTAAGAATGAAAGCGTCCTAGTCAATTCTTTGTTGTATCATATTAACCCGTGAGGGTTGATGATGCGCAATAATCGTAGGATATATATCGGGATTTAATGGTAGAGAAATGGTATATTTATGAGGGTTCTGAGATTACTTGACCTTTACATAGCTCGAGTACAGATATCAGGGAAACCCCGGAAGCATTATATCCTTACTTAAATGTTGTCTTTGCAGTGCCAGAGTTAGTAGAATCAACCTGGTAGCAAATGGCGTCATAGGGCTCAGCTTGATGTAGTGATTAATAGGTCCGAATCAAGCATTTACCAAACCAAATATATTGTGATAAATTTAACAGCCTCACTCTACTCCGTGCGGAGTATAAGTAGCTACATTCGGGTACTATTTGACCTATAAGAAAAGAACATGTAGTTGTCATACGTGAGTCAACAGCACTGGCAGCTGAATCCGCTATCACCGGACTCGGCGATAAGCAAGGGGCACATCCACGGATCAGGTACCAGCCCCCCGTCGGGACTCCGCGTTTTCCCCTCACGAGTCATTCTCTCCTCCAACTCTTTCTCTTTCTTACCCTCATACAATCCAACACTCTATTTACAATATGACTAGAAAATACAATACGACCCAAGGCCTCGATATGCCATGGGCCTCACAAATTTCCGCCCAGCTGCCCAGCGCATTCATGCCTGTACCTGCAGCACAGCCAGTCCGAGCTCAGGCACCGATCGCCGATGAAGCCATCCGACCCGAGGATTACTCTAAACCATACTGCGAGTTCATGACATCCAATCCCACAATTTTCCACGCCGTCAAATCATTCTCCAAGCAGCTTGAAGAGCATGGCTACAAGCACCTCTCCGAACGAGCGGTGTGGACATCGGAGCTGAAACGAGGCGGCAAGTTTTACACTTCCCGCAACGGCAGCTCTTTGATCGCTTTCAACATTGGCTCTAAATATGAGAGCGGCAATGGTGTAGCTATCGTTGCTGGTCACGTCGATGCCTTGACTGCCAAGCTGAAGCCCGTGTCTAAGCTACCGAACAAAGCAGGCTTCCAGCAACTCGGCGTTGCCCCGTACGCTGGTGGTCTCGGCACCACTTGGTGGGA